GAGGACTCCTCGACCTTGACAAATGACGCGAGAGGGGTGACGTGGGACACACCAGAGGGGGCAGGACGGGGAGGGGGAGGGGGGGGGGCAGGGACCACCTGGGAAGGAGTGACCAAGAACAGGGGGGGAGTAACAGGGGGACCGCGGTGGGGGAAGCGATGGTAGAAGGAGACGGACTCGTCAAAGGTGACATCGCGAGAGTGAAAGAACCGGTGAGACGGCGGGTGGTAGAAGTGCCAGTCGGACGCGTCAAGGGGGAAACCGAGGAAGACACAGGGAAGGGTGTGGGCAGTGAGCTTGTCCGTGCCAGAGGCATGAACGTGAGCAAGGCAGCCCCAGACGTGGAACGCAGATGCGTCACCAGGAGACCCGGTCCAAAGAAGGGTCGGCCAAACCTGCGGCCGCTGGGGGTGCGGCCACAGGTTAAGCTGGTGAGCAGCGTAGCGCACAGCGAACGGCCACAGAAAATGGGGTGCACCGGCATGGATCATGGAGGTGCGAGCCACCTCCATGACCAAACCGATGCGTTGCTCAGCGACCCCATTCTGCTGCGGGGAGTCTGGCAGGGTGAACGCCTGGGTGATGCCCTTCGCACGACAGAAGCGATCAAGGACACCTGAGTCAAACTCGCCACCACGGTCGGAGTGAAGACGCCAGACAGGGAGACCGCGGTGGACACACGCAAAGACGAGCCAGGGGATGAGAGCGTCAGGCACGTCGGCCTTCCGCTCCAGCGGAAAGACTGTGGTGTAGCGTGTGAAGTCGTCGACAAGCACTAGGAAGTAGCGCTCTCGACGCGGCCCATGGACGGGGGCGGGGCCCCAGACGTCCATGTGCAGGGTGTGCAGCGGCGCGGCGGTGGGGGGAAACGAGGAGGAGTGAGGGGCACGGCGAAGCCGACCCTTGACACAAGGCATGCAAGGTGGGGCTGGGGAGGAGGGAAAAGCGGGGAACGTACCAGGGAGACCAAGGACAAGACTATGCTGGGACATGTGACGCAGACGCGGGAGCGCAGGGTGACCTAGGCGGTGGTGCCAAATGAGAGCCGATTGAGTGAGAGACCGACAGGAGCAAGCAGCTGCAGCCTGGGTAGACGCAGCCACCTGAAGGGGCGCCCCAGCCGGAGGGGTCACGGTGTCTAGGGTGAACAGGCCGGACACCGGGTCACGGGGGAACGTGGACAGGGGGGCACCAGTAGCGGCCTCGGTACATACAGCATACCGCTCGTGGCCAGGGAACGTAGTGGTGACGCCAAGGTCCTGGAGGCAGCCGACACCAACTAGGTTCTTGGAGAACGAGGGGATATGCAGACCTGTGAGAGAGCCCGAAGGAACCGCCGGACAGGGAAGGGTGGTTGAACCGCCGAACGACCGGACCGCCGGAGGGGTCAGCAAGAGAAACTACAGCAGGAACAGGAAGCGGCGTCAGCGTAGTAGAGTCGCGGAAGAAGCACCGGGAAGCGCCAGGGTCCAAGGTGAAGGAAAGAGAAGCAGTGGCAGCTGGCGACGGGGCAACGGCGGAAGCACCAAGGCTAAACAAAGCAGGAGCTCCTACGCCTGACGCAACAGGGAAGGCTAAGCTAGGCACATCTACACTAAGCGACAAGGAGTAATAAGAGGGGAGTACACTAGAGCCATCAGCATACATCACATGCAGGGCAGAAGCAATGGCATCCATGTCCATATCAAAAATCTGAACTCTACGACTAAGCAAGCTGTGCCAGTCCGGGAGGTCGGGCGACGGGCCGAAGCGCTGACGAAACAGGTCGTCCAGGCGGCGAAAACAACAAGCAGTGGTCTGACCGATCTTACCGCAAACGAAGCCGCGGCGAGGACCGGTCTGGATCTGGTACTGACAGCGCACGCCTCCCGAACCGCCACCCGGCACACCACCATGCACACGACCACCACCAGCGCCAGGCCACCCGGGCGGGAGGGCACTCGCCTGCCTCGTCTGTGGCGGCTGCTGCGACTGCTGCGTCTGCTGCGGCTGGTGCTGTGGCTACTGCTGCTGCTGCGGCTGCTGGGGCGGCTGCTCAGCTGGACCTGGCAGGGTCCCCTCGTCGACTCCACCACCAGACGACCCGACTCCACCACCAACTCCACTGGCACCCCCACCTCCTTCGCCGCGCCCAGCCTTGGGGCGGCGGCCCTTCCCCGGACGGAACTGCGCTGCAGCGGCGGTCTCAGCCACAGCGGTAGAACCATCGGAGAAGGTGCACTGAGCGGGGGCACAGCCCTGAAAGATAGGGACCGGCACAGTACCGCTCGCCTGGGCGATAGAGCGGTGGCGGGTCTCAATAACAGTCAGGTTGTCTACAAAGTCTGTGAGGGTGAGATCACCGGGGTGAATGCTAAAGAAGCGGTCACGAGCAGCGGCAAGGCGGTCAGGGAGGCGGGTGGCAAGTAGGTAGAGGGTAGAGGTAAGGGGCGGCTGGTGGGCTCTAAGCTGTGCGTCAGTGCAGGCAGCGCGCCAGGTCTCATCTATCGTGCAGAGGTGGGTGGCCAGGTCAGCGACTGTATAGGGTCAGCGACGACGGTACCATCTTAGAACTGAGAGAATGTTTGAGTAGTGAGAGAGTACAAGGGAATATACCTAAGTGTTGTACCCTATAAGAGGCAAACCTATACAGTCCATACAAACATAACAGATACACATGTTTGACACTTGGGAGTATTGTTACGTTTCGCTATCGTTACTACGCATCGCGAACTCGCTGACAAGCCGTTCGCATGCTCTAGGGAGGTACATTATAATGACGGCTGTTGGGGCCGGAAGCCTGGTAATGGTGTCGCCGTTTAAGTCAAAATCCATGTCGTTAGGCAGCGTGAGCTATTGCGCACTCGTTGTATTGCTCGCGTCCATCGTCGTCGTGCTCTGCTCTAGGCTTATCGCGTCAGACTTTAACGCGAACCTGCCGCATGTACCGCTGGCTTTATTAGAATCAGGTTTCAAAGGCGGCGACAGTAGGATAGGAGGAGGCGAGGGTAGCGAAGAGATTGCTGTCAGCCTGAGGATGCTACAAGAGGGAGACGGGATGTAGAGAGAGGGAGACAGGGAGTTTTCTGATGATGAAGTAGCAAATGCCAGTCCATCCCAGCCGCTGATCCCTGGAAGCCGACTTTCCACTGTCGCTGCGGTACGTCGATTCGAGAGCAGATTTAACTGTTTGGCGTCGAAAGGGCAGAGGCTTTTAGACCACACACCGAGATTCCTACCCTGGGGGGAAGAAACTAAGATAAGGTTCTCCTCCTGTGACTACTGGTGGATCACAAATGCTCAAAGAAACATTTCAGGGCAGAATGGTGATTCTGGGGCAGCTTCATTTCGGAACATTGCATATGACGACGCTGATGGAGTGGCTCGGAGGAGGGGGGCCAAAGTGGCATGGCAGTTCGGCCGAGCGTGAAGTATCGATGGGAATTGCCGATCCAGAAAGGGGTTGACGATTCAGGAGGGGGGGAAGGGGGAAGAGGAGTGTCGGGAGAGTGTGGAGGAAGAGAGTGGTGGGGAGAGGTGGACTGTGAGCGGTTGAAAGCTGGGCTGGTTCCCAGTGGAGGGAAGATCATGATAGTGGGAGATTCGTTAAACCTAGAGGTGTTTGCTGGCTTCAAGAACCTTATGAAAATTTGTCAGAAGAAGTGCATTTTTGAGGCGCGGAACAAGGAAAGGCAGCAACAGATGCAGCCGCAGCGGGCGCAGCAACAGCAGCCACGGCGGCAACAGCTGACACATCAGCAGAAACAGGAGGAGAATGAGGACCAGCAGCAGCGGCAGCAGCAGGAACAGCAGCAGCAGCAGCAGCAGCAGCAGCAGCAGCAGCAGCAGCAGCAGCAGCAGCAGCAGCAGGAGGAGCAGCCACGACGGCGACAGCTGCAGAAGCTAAAGAAATTTTACAGGCTCGAGTGTCCTGGAGTAGAGATCCTTGGTCAGGAGTCCTGTGCGGGCCATCGGAGGATCTCTGAAATGAGCTGGCAGTGCAGCGAAATGCGATATGGGAACACTTCAGGAATGACCTCCTAAACACGTCGAAATTCCACTTCATCAATACGCCTTGGATGAGGACGTTCAAGGGGCGTAATGTGTCCGTGCTTCTATTGAATCGTGGAGCGCACTATGCGGAGAATGATGTGTTCGTTCCTTAACTTAATGCTACACTTCGTAAAGTTAGGGAAGCTGTACCGAATGCGTTTTTATTTTATCGGAGCACTCCCGGAGGTCATCCCAATTGCACAAGGGCTATGACCAATCCGTACGAGGTGCCTCCTGACGCCAGTTCCTTCCCTTACCATTGGGGCGACTCTCACTAGCAAAATATGATCTCTAAACATTTGGTAAAAGGAATTGGAGGGATTTTCATGGATGTGGAGCGGATGACGGCTTTGAGACCTGATGGTCACAGGGGGCCTCCCGAGGATTGCTTGAATTATTGCCTTCCAGGGCCTGTGGACACCTGGGTTATGATGCTTTACCACATGCTTATACAATTGTTGTAGTTTGCTACGAAAATTCGCATTGCATTTGCTTGCAGTAGTAATTTTAGTGCCGCTAGTGGCGACTTTCATGATTGCTAGAGATTTGGTGAGGGGAATTGGAGGGGTTTTCATGGATGTGGAGAGGATGACGGCTTTGAGACCTGATGGGCATGTATGGGACCGCTATAGGATTGCCTTCTTTATTGCCTTTCTGGGACAAATGGGTCCGCCTGCATCATCAGACGCTGAGACAATCGTTGTAGGTAGACTTTATTGTATATAGAATTATCTACTATCGTTGCCATTTGTTTACACTAGCAATTCATCTAGTGGTACATATGCGTGAGATGTCAGAGTTTTAGGAAATCGTTTAGCATTATAGTTGTCTTACTCGGATATCTGCACAGTTGCCCTTTTATAACACAGACCCCACCAGCTCTTGACGAGAGTGTGGATCCCGCAGCGTGACCCGACTGGTGTTCGGAATCAAAATTCCCCTTCGGCATTCCTGAGGTGCCTCTGTGCCTTTTCGGATTCAGCAGTATCTCGCAAGCAACCCCGCATAGGCTCTCACAGCGTTGCATAGGGCTCACATGATCGCGTCTCCCCTCATTCGAGGGAGCTGTCTCGGTGCTTGTTCGATCACGGTTCCTGCTCGCCGCGTCTCTGCTCTCCATGCCTTAGAGACCCTATCGCGCTCGCAGCAATCATCGCAGATCTCGCTCGGCTTACGATCTGGTTCCAGCAGTGCAGTTCAGAGCCGTCGATCTCGAACAGCTTTCAGCAGGAAGCGTTTAGGGTCGGATTACCGGTCAGATCGTCTGGACTTAGCGGTTTCGCACGTCAGGCGAGATTCGCGAGCTTCGCTTGCGGTAACGGCAGCAGCGGTGACGGCAACGGCGTCAGCGGCTTCACAGGGTACGCTCTTCGCCACGGTTATTATTGGTCACGGATTTAGTGCTCGTCGCTTGTTTCTAGTACCTGCATGCTAATGACCTCTCAGCAGCTTGAATTTCTGTTCACCCACGCATATGTTTTGCTTGCAACGTTCACTTGAATGACGTTAACGGAATTTTAATATTTTCATAATTCTGCCAAGTCCATGAAGCTGACGTGTCATGTATATAAGCTGAAAGTTCGTGGACGATCTCATGCGGGTAACCTCGTAAGCAGTGTGTATTGATGCTTCATGCTGTAACAGGTGAATCAAGCCTGAGCGGCGTAACGGACCGAGCTATGGAGAAGCAGGGCGTTCTTGTCTACGGTGCTACAGGTGGGACGGTGCTACAGGTGGGATGGTGCTACAGGTGGGACGGTTCTACTGGTGGGACGGTGCTACAGGTGGGACGGTGCCACAGGTGGGACGGTGGTACAGGTGGGATGGTGCTACAGGTGGGACGGTGCTACAGGTGGGCGGTGCTACAGGTGGGACGGTGCCACAGGTGGGACGGTGCTACAGGTGGGACGGTGCTACAGGTGGGATGGTGTGACATGCGATTTGTGGCAAAGATTTGATGTGTTATCTCTCGACCACTCACCAGGCACCACTGGCACGCTCATAGCCCAGAAAATGAAGGTGGTCGGCCTTCCGGCCACTACTCACTCTGGCACTTTCTGCTTGTCCCTCGCCCTCTTCACCAGGTACCACTGGCACGCTCATAGCCCAGAAAATAGGGAGGTCGGCCTTCCAGCCACTACTCACTCGGGCACTTTCTTCTTATCCCTCGCCCCCTTTACCAGGCACCACTGGCACGCTCATAGCCCAGAAAATTAAGGAGGTCGGCCTTCCAGCCACTCTCGCAGGGAGGAATCTGCAGAAGCTGCAGTAAGTTAACAGTACACAGTAGCTAGTACGCACAAACGCATGCAACTGAAGTGTACACAACCAACATCTCGTTGACATTCCGTTCCTATTTCCCACCATCCCTCCCTGTGTTCGTCTTGTGGACACAACCAACTTCGCATCTCTTCTTTGTGCTACGACGCTCGGGATTACAGTTGATATCTTGCTCTGCTGCTGGAATTGTCCAGCCTTCTCTCTTACCGCTCTCTTACCGTTTTGTCGAGGGCTTGCCTGCTGCCCCCGTGGATCTGTGAGATGTTTTAGCCAACGCCAACATCCCTTCCTCCCTTTCTCCGCGCCTCTGCCCCCCCCCCTCCCGATTCCCCGTGACATTGATCCTGGTTACTCAGGGCTATAGGCAATGCTGTGGGGCTGCCTGTAGCCGCTGTTGACTTGAACGATGCAGAGGGGCTTAGGGAGCTGGTGGGGCGGCACAAGGTGGTGCTGCACGTGGCTGGGGTGAGTGGGCTGTATACACTGATTGGTCACCGATAGGCACGGCCTCGGGCGTGCCTGCCTGTAGCGCTGTAATTTTGAACGATGCAGAGGGGCTTAGGGAGCTGGTGGCCCGGCACAAGTGCTGCACGTGGCTGCGGTGGGTGCGTAGAATACAACAGGTTATTACCTATCAGCCAGGCCATAGGCGTGCCGGTAGCTGCTGTGGACTTGAACGATGCAGAGGGGTGGAGGGAGCTGGTGGCCCGGCACAAGTGCTGCACGTGGCTGCGGTGGGTGCGTAGAATACAACAGGTTATTACCTATCAGCCAGGCCATAGGCGTGCCGGTAGCTGCTGTGGACTTGAACGATGCAGAGGGGTGGAGGGAGCTGGGGGGAAGGCACGAGGTGGTGAGTGTTGAGAGTTGCTAGGCTCCTCTCATACACGGGGCACATGATGTACTTTGTTGGGACACGTATTCACAGCTCTTCACAGGGCTGGGGGGAGTGTCATGCGTGCGCCGAAGACCCTGGTTCAACCCTGAGCCACTCTTTCCTGTTGCATGCAACTTTCTGTGATTTTGTGTCCCTCTGTGTGTGTGTGTGTGTGTGTGTTCTGTATCACAGCCCTTTACAATCACATCCAAGCCCATGATTGAGGCCTGCGTCAGCACTGGCACTCATTATCTTGATGTTACCGGGGAGTTCAAGGTGCGCTCCTCAGGGACGAGGCCAGTGGGTCTTGTCTAGCTGGCACTTTGTGGAGAGGTCAGGGTGCGTCAGCACGGGCACTCACTACGTCATGTTACCGGGGAGTTCAAGGTGCGCTTAGCTGGGGCTGGGTCTTGTTTAGCTGGCACTCAGTGGAGAGCCTAGGGTGCATAAGCACGGGCAATCGCTACGTTGTTGTTGCTGGAGATTTCTAGCGCTGGTAAGCATCTGGCACGTAGTGGAAAGTTCAAGGTATTTCTTAGCTCGAACTTAGAGTAGAACTGCTCACTGCAGGTAGCTAGTCATGGTACAGTCGTACAGAGGCAGGATTCGGCACGTATGTAGACATCGGATGCTTTGGCATGACATGTATGTATGTTATGACGTGGGATTCTATGGCATGACATGTATGTATGTTATGACGTGGGATTCTATGGCATGACATGTATGTATGTTATGACTTGGGATTCTACGGCATGGCAGGTGATGGAGCACGCGCGCACATACGATGCCACAGCAAAGGAGAAGGGCGTCATGATTCTGCCTGCTGTGGGCTTCGACGTCATCCCAGGAGGTGTGTCTATGAAAGTATTAATGGTGGAATGTTCGTGGAAGGACTCAGTTGGTGCTCCAAAGGAGAAGGGCGTCGTGATCCCGCCTGGTGTGGGCTTCGACGTCATTCCAGGAGGTAAGCTGTGGTTGGTTTTTGAGAAATCTCAAAACCCTATCACATGCCACAGCAAAGGAGAAGGGCGTCATGATCCTTCCTGCCGTGGGCTTCGACTTCATTCCGGGAGGTAAGCTGCTGGAGGCCAAACGACCCCTCGCTAGGAGGAGAGAAGATATGGGAACTCTCATGTGGGACTGCAAAGGAGAAGGGCGCCATGATGATGATGATGATGATGACTTTGCCATTGGCTTTGACGTCACCCCCGTGGAGGTATTTTCTCTTAACGCCCCATTTGACGTTGTTACTCTCAAGTTCCCATCTCAACTTGACAGATTGTTGTGGGGACGTATGTTTTCAAAGTCAAAGATGAAGGAAGTAGCTTGGAAGAGAAAAGATTGAATTGAGTAGGGAGCCAAGAGGCTCTTTTGTACAAAACAAGGAGCAAGAAGAGTTGGAGGGGAAGCTCTCCCATTTGGCCATAAAGTGGACCAATGGGAGAGGTTGCTTGTAGGGCAAGCAACAAAGTGTGGTGCTCTCCGATTGGCCACAAAGCGGACCAATGAGAGAGATTGCTTGAAAGGCAAGCAACCACAAAGTGTGGTGCTTGGTGATTGGTTGGTTCCTAGGACCAAGGACCATTTGGTTGGAATAGTGCCAACCAAATGTCTAGGACCAAATCCAATCTTGACCAACCCAAATGTGGGGTTGGTCAACCCAACCAACAACCCCCCAATAATTATAATGACTACACCTCCTAATCTAGGCATGCATGTTGTATAGATATATATATTACAACACAACCCTCCAACATGCATAAGACTAGAGGGCTTGAATCAGGAGGCGGACAAGGGAATGGGGGGAGCGAGTCCAAGAAGGCGAAGGAGGAATGAGTGGGCGGCGTGGGGGAGGGCTTTGGTGAAGATGTCAGCAAGATTGGCAGCAGAGTCAATTTTGCCCAGCCGGAGGTGGCCACCCTGCACAAGCTCGCGAATGAAGTAGTGGCGAAGCTCAATGTGCTTGGAGCGCCCGTGGAACACGGCATCCTTCGTGAGGTGGATGGTGCTGGCGTTGTCGCACCAGATGGTGGGACAGCGCTGAGGGGCACCAAGCTCCTCAAGAAGGAAGGAGAGCCAGCGGGCCTCCTGCGCAGCCATGGTAGCGACATACAGCTCTGCTTCGCAGGAGGAGAGGGCAATGGAGGAGGAGCGGGTGGAGCGCCAGCTGATGAGGCCGCTGCCAAGAGAGAAGCCATAGCCCTGAGAGGAGCGGCGGTCAGGCCTAGAGTCAGCCCAGGAGGAATCAGAGTAGCCTGTGAGGAGGGGAGGGGAGGGGCCGCCAAGGGTAAGGACGTAGTCCTTGGTCCCCCGAAGGTAGCGGAGGACTCGCTTGGCCGCTTGCCAGTGGGCGGCATCATGCTTGCCGGTACCAACGAAGCGGGCTAAAACGCTGATGGGGTATGCCAGGTCAGGGCGGGTGGATACCATGGCATACATGAGAGAGCCGATGAGCTCAGCGTAGGGGTGGGAGGAGGAGGAGGGGGAGGTGAGGGGAGTGAGGTGGTGCCCAACAGGAAGAGGGGTGACCTGAGGGGTGCCTCGAGCCATGTCGAACCGCTCCAAGACCTGCTGCAGGTAGTGGCCTTGGGAGAGGGAGATGGTGCGAGTAGCACGGTCGCGGGTAATCTCCATACCGAGATAGTGCTGCAGCTCCCCTAGATCCTTACACTTGAGCCGGCTACCAAGCTCACGCTTGACGCGCTCGAGCTCGGCGGAGTCGGCAGTGATGAGGATCATATCGTCGACATAGACGAGGATGTAGAAGGGGGAGGGTGAGGTGCGGAGGAAGAGGCTGGGGTCGGCACGGGAGGTGCTGAAGCCAAGCTTGGCGAGGGTGGCAGCAAGCTTGGCATGCCACTCCCTTGGTGCCTGCTTGAGCCCATAGACCGGCCGACGCAGTTGCCAGACAGAGTTGGAAGGAAAGGGGAGGTGGAAGCCTGCAGGACGCTCCATGAAAATGAGCTCGCGCAAGACCCCCTGGAGAAATGCGTTGGAGACGTCCATGGAGTGAATCTCCATGTTGAGGCGAGCGGCGAGGTCGAGGACTGCGCGAATGGTAGCGGGCTTGGCGGTGGGAGAGAAGGTGTCGAAGAAGTCGACAGCGTAGCGCTGGGTGAAGCCCTTGGCGACGTAGCGGGCCTTGTAGACCGGCGGCTCGCCAGGAAGCTGCTTCACCCGAAACACCCACTTCCCTTTGACCACGTTCGTGGTAGAGGGAGGGCGGGGCACATCCACAAAGGAGGAGTTGGCAATAAACGTCTCCAACTCCTTGAGGATGGCCGCGAGCCAGAGGTGAGCGTCAGGGCACGCCATGGCCTCCTCGTACGTGGCGGGGACGAAGATGGTGGGGGCGGAGGAGAAGGCGAAGACTGGTGTGCCGCTGAGGTCAGGAGAGATGGGTAGGAGGGCTGGATCATGTAGGTGGAGGTTGAGGAACTCCTCATGGGAGTCCTCGAGGAGGGAGGAGTGGAAAATGAATGGGAGGACTGCAGCTGCTGCTGCTGCTGCTGCTGCTGAGGATGCATCTGCTGCTGTTGCTGCTGAGGCGGCTGCTACTGCTGCATCTGCTGCCGCCGCTGCTGCTGCTGCGGGTGAAGGCGAGGAAGGAGCGACGGCTGCTGCTGCTGGTGCTGCTGCGGTGGGTGGAACTGCTGCTGGTGGGGCTGCTGTACTGGAGCTTGACGGCAGGGTTGGGCTAGTGTTTTGTTGTAAGACTGTCTGAAAAAGGAGGTCCATGAGAGGGGAGAGAGGAGGCAAGGGAGAGGAAGAGAGGATAACAGGAGGCGGGGCACCTAGGACTGCGTCACGCGACCTGGTGTGGGGATACCGGGTAAGGATGGAGCGGGTGGGACGCAAGGGGGGAGGGGGACGTGGGGGGGAGGGGGGAGGAGGGGAGGGGGGAGGAGGGGAGGGGGGGGGATGGGAGGGAGCGGAGGGGGAGGAGTGGGACGGGGAGGCGGGGGGGAAAAAAGGGTCAGGGTCAAATATGTCACCAGAGGAGGGGGGAGCACTAGGGACTGAGGCGGCGGGGAATGGAGGAGGTGGAGCGGGAGGGAGGATGGGAGGGGGAGGGAGAAGAGGGGGTGGGATAGTGTCGGACCAGTTGAGAGGCCTGGGAGCAGGGGCGAGAGGGTCAGTGGGGGGAGGAGTGGAATAGTAGGGTGTGGACTCATCAAAGACTACATCCCGACTGCGGAGGAAACGACCTGAGGGGGGGTGAAGGAAGAGGTAGTCCGGGGAGGAGGGATTATGACCAAGGAAGATGCAGGGGAGGGTACGGGAGGCGAGCTTTCCCATGGTGCGGGGGCGATCCGCAAGGTGAATGAGGACATACGCCCTGGAGCCCCACACACGGAGGGAGGAGACGTCAGGCTTGGCCGATGTCCAGAGCTCGGTGGGAGTGGTGGAGGGAAGGATAGGGTGGGGGTACAGGTTAGTAAGGAGGGTGGCGTGAAGGAGGGCATAGCCCCACAGAGAAGGGGGGCAAGAGGCATGGACGAGGAGACACCGCGCAATCTTGGTGATCTCCCGAACACGGCTCTCGGCCACACCATTCTGTTGGGGGGAGTGGGGGAGGGTGTGAGTCTGGCGAATGCCATGAAGCTCACAGTAGGAGGCTACCTGACGATTAAGGAATTCGCCACCGCCATCAGAGTGAAGGCGGCGCACAGGGCGGCCAAAGTGGGTGCTCGCCTGCTTGAGCCAGGCGATGATCGCAGCCGGAGCGTCACCCTTCGAGCGAAGAAGGGAGACGGACGAATATCGGCTGTGATCATCGACCAGAACAAGCATGTAGCGATGGCCCTGGCGGGAAGGGGAGGGGTTGGGGCCCCAGAGGTCCATGTGAACAAGATCAAGCGGCTGGGCAGCAGCGGAGGGGGAACTCCGATGCGGCAGCTGCCTGAGCTTGCTCTGGACACAGACGGAGCAGGGTGGGGCAAGGGAGGGAGGGAGGGGAGGGAGGGTGAGGGGAAGACCTCGAAAGAGACCTGAGGAGACGGTCGAGCGGAGGGTGGCAAAGTTGGGGTGACCAAGCCTGTGGTGGAGGAGGACGGTGGGATGGGAGAGGGATCGACAGGAGCAGGTTGGGTCAGGGGGGAGGGGGGGAATGGTTGGGTTAGAAGGAGGGAGAGGAGGGGGAGGGATGTGAGGTGGGGGGAGGGAGCGGGAGACTGCCTGGGCAGAGGGAAGACGAGGAACTCGAAGGGTATATAGGCGGGAGCGAGGACAAAAGGGAATACGGGAGAGGAGGCGACCTGTGGGATGGTATAGGAGGCAGTGATTAGCGCGACCTGGGAAGACGGTGGTGATACCGGCCTGCTGCAGGGATCGCTGGGAGAGGAGGTTAGTACGGAGGGAGGGGATGTGTAAACCAGTGACGGTACCTGAGGGGAAGAGGGGACAGGGGAGGGTAGAGGTGTGGCGACAGGGAATAGAGAAGCTGGAATCGGCACCAAGGAGGGAGGTGGGGGCTGGGAGAGGGTGAAGGGTACCAGCATCACGAAGGACGGACTCGGTGGCTCCACTGTCAAGGACAAAGTCCAGTGTGGTGGAGGGGGGAGGATGTGGGGGAGGAGGTGGGACGGAGTACTGAATCACATTCTAATTAATAGCAGCCGAATACATAGAAGGGGCGGGGGTTCCAGCGTGACTAAGCATGCCAACAAAACCAGAGGAGGGGAAAGGAGTCACACTGCCTGTGGCTGAGGGCGCGGGAGACGCGCCCGAGAGGTGAGCTGCGGAAGCGGCGGTGCCGGCGGTCCAAGCGGAGTAGGGCTGCTGGGGGGGAGCCATAGGAGGAGGTGCAAGGGGGAGCTGCGACTGGAGTTCAAGCTGCTGCTGGAGCTGGTGGAGCTGCTGCTGCAACTGGGAGAAGAGGTGCTGCTGCCCCTGCTGCTGCTGCTGCTGCTGGAACTGCTGCTGCTGCTGCTGCTGCTGAAACGGCTGCGGCAGGATCTGCTGCTGCTGCTGTTGCTGAGAGACGGCCTGGTGGGCCAAGGGGGAGGAGACGGGCTGAAAAAGAGGGGAGGTGCGAACCTCCTGAGGAGTGGGGCGAGGGGAGAGGGAGGACCAGCGGGGGGGGGTGCCGGTGTTGCCGCGGGCAAACCACTCATCACTGAGCGCTTTGAAGCAAGAGTCAGTGGCATGGGTGGTCTGGCCGCAGCGCTGACCCCGCGTGGGGCCATAGCGAGGGAGATACTGGCAAGGAGGAAAAGCGGCTGCTGCACCACGTCCTGCGCCATTGCTGCCACGACCCGCGCCACCACCACGACCAGCGCCACGCCCACCCCCACGCCCTCCCCTGTTGTTGCGCTGCTGAGCAACAGCGGCAGTGGAGGAGGAATGGCGCAAGAGGTCGGCCTCGGTGGTGATAATCCACTGGGCGACTTCAGCCGGGGTGATGCGCTTGTCGATCAGCTGCATGTAGGCGATCTTATGGGTGTCGAAGGCAGGAGACAAGCCTTCAAGGAGATGGCAGCAGAGCACTGGGTCCGGGTACGGCACGCCAAGAGCCGCCAGGCGCCGAGCGAGGTCGAGGACGCGACGCGTGAAGGCAGCTGCGCCGGTGGTGGCGTCCATGGTGAGGCTCTGGAACTCCTTAATGAGAGAGTAGAGGGTGGCGACGTCCTGCCGATCATAGAGATCGGTGAGGAGGCGCCAGAGGTGGGAGGAGGAGGTGGGAGCAAGCTCTCGCTTGAGGGTGGGAGGAATGGTGGCGAGGAGGATGGTGAGCGCGCGCCGGTCAGCGACACGCCAGGCACCGAGGTCGGTGATGTATGCGCGCTCGCGCCTGACGTACTCCGCGAGCGCCGCCTGATACGTGTTGTAGGCGGCAGTGGCGGCGTCATGCTCGGCGCTGGAAGCCTCGAAGAGCAGCTGCTGGCGGACGTGGTCGGTGAGGCCGGCACGGTAGGTGCGGATGGCGGTCTCGGAGCTCTGAGGGTCGTTGACATCAGGGGCGAAGGTTGGAGGATCGCCGGGGCTGACGGGGGCATCGCCAGGAGGAGGAGGTGCAGGGCCCGCGGGAGCATCCGGCTGGGCAGGCTGAAGACCGCGCTCCTCGAGATGGACAACGGCTTTCAGGTTGTAGCCGTTGACCGTCACCGAGGAGAGAAGCACCGTGACGGTTTGGGCATAGGAATGCCAATTGACCGCTGTGTTGTCGGGCAGCAGCTCAAGAGCGTCGACGGAGGTAAGGTCCACCGAGGAATCGGATGCCATTGAGGAGGAGGAGGGGAAGGAAGGTGGGGGGGAGGAGGAAAAGGAAAGGAGGAGGAAAAAAAAGGGGGGGAGGGAGGAGAAGGATAGGTGCGCGGAGCGCAGCTCTTAAGTCGCCGAAGGCCGTGCGCGCGCGGCGGCAGAGAGTCGACGGGTGCGGTGGGAGGATTTGTCGACGGGCGTGCGCGGGAGCCGTGACAAATGGGCGCGCGGAGACCGCGACGGACGGGTGCGCGCAAACGCGGAGGGCGCGCGACGGGAGGGCGCGACGGGAGGGCGCGACGACGGGCCGCGCGACGGAGGAGCGCACCAACGGGCGCAATAGGAGAATGCGACGGCCACAAGCGCGTCGTCAGGCGCGACGGGAGGCGCACGGCGGAAGGGAGAGCGGGCGCGGTAGAAGGCGCGCGACGGGAGGAAGATCGGGCGCGACGGAGTAGCGCGCAAGAGAGGGCGCACGGGGGGCGCGGGAAGTAGCCTAAGGAAGGGCTAGACTTCGAAGACGAGGAGGGACGGCATAGGGCCGTGCTAGTTAGGATCGACTAGAGGTGGCGTGAGCCATTGTGGCTCTGAATACCATGAAGGAAGTAGCTTGGAAGAGAAAAGATTGAATTGAGTAGGGAGCCAAGAGGCTCTTTTGTACAAAACAAGGAGCAAGAAGAGTTGGAGGGGAAGCTCTCCCATTTGGCCATAAAGTGGACCAATGGGAGAGGTTGCTTGTAGGGCAAGCAACCACAAAGTGTGGTGCTCTCCGATTGGCCACAAAGCGGACCAATGAGAGAGATTGCTTGAAAGGCAAGCAACCACAAAGTGTGGTGCTTGGTGATTGGTTGGTTCCTAGGACCAAGGACCATTTGGTTGGAATAGTGCCAACCAAATGTCTAGGACCAAATCCAATCTTGACCAACCCAAATGTGGGGTTGGTCAACCCATCCAACAACCCCCCAATAATTATAATGACTACACCTCCTAATCTAGGCATGCATGTTGTATAGATATATATATTACAACAAAAGAGTCCTTCTGCTCCTCACTCGCCGTCCAAGCTCTCTCCACCACCTTCGCTCCTCTCCCTCCCTCCCTGCCCGCTCCCCCGTCATGCACCCCCCCCCCCCCCCCCCCCCCTCAAATCCAGGCTGCCAGACAGGGCACCTCGAGGGTAAGCTCCCTTCAGCAGCCGAGCCTCATCTCGGCGCATTTTTGCCCCTTTCTTCCCCCCCGCGCACTGTCTTTCCGCATTTCCCCCCCATTTCACCAACACCCAGACTGCCTGGCGGCGTACCTCAAGGACAAGTTGGCATCAGCCACAGAGCTTCGTCTCGCTCGCTTTTTCCTCGTCAATTGTTCAACCTTGTTTACCTCCCATCCACGCTCCCGTCCCCACCAACACCCAGACTGCCTGGCGGCGTACCTCAAGGACAAGTTGGCATCAGCCACAGAGCTTCGTCTCGCTCGCTTTTTCCTCGTCCATTGTTCAACCTTGTTTACCTCCCATCCACGCTCCCGTCCCCACCAACACCCAGACTGCCTGGCGGCGTACCTCAAGGACAAGTTGGCATCAGCCACAGAGCTTCGTCTCGCTCGCTTTTTCCTCGTCCATTGTTCAACCTTGTTTACCTCCCATCCACGCTCCCGTCCCCACCAACACCCAGACTGCCTGGCGGCGTACCTCAAGGACAAGTTGGCATCAGCCACAGAGCTTCGTCTCGCTCGCTTTTTCCTCGTCCATTGTTCAACCTTGTTTACCTCCCATCCACGCTCCCGTCCCCACCAACACCCAGACTGCCTGGCGGCGTACCTCAAGGACAAGTTGCCATCAGCCACAGAGCTTCATCTCGCCACATTCTTTTCCACAACCGCGCCTGTGAGTGTCTGCGTGTGTGTGTGTGTGTGCAACAACCAAGACCATCTTTGAATGTGTGCATGCTTCAACTGTGCCTGTGCTACAACCTCACTTCAGCAACAGAGCTTCATCTCGCCACATTCTTTACCACATCCGCTCCTGTAAGTGTGCCTGTGCGCACTAACCTATCCAAAACACATTCTTTTTGCTACGCTTTCTCGTATCAGAGGCCAATGTTTTTGCATACCATCCCCCTTGCGTACGCTGTCAAGCACATTCTCACTTACCTCCCTTCAGTCCTCCAACCCTTCAAAGCATGGGCCTAATAATAACCGCTGGCCAATTGGCAGGGGGAAGGCCCCCTTCAGCCCCGCCCCCTTGGCTACCCCACTTCAGTCTCGCCCCCTTGGCTACCCTGCTTCAGTCCCGCCCTGCGAAGCAAGTGCGTAATAACGAGTCTGCACCGCAAGCCCATCGATAGGGGAAGACCCTCAGCCAGATGCCAAGCAAATGCTCACTCCGCCTCTCCCCCCTTCCCCTCCCACCAATTGACAGGGCGAGGACCCTCGCTCTACCCCTGCCAACGCCCTTCCGTCCCACGGCACTCTGATTTCCGGAGCCAAGCACATTCTGCCCCTGGGGGGGCTGGTGCGAAGGAATGGCGCGATAGTGAAGGAGTCGATAGCGAATTAGTGAGTGTGGGTGGCTCTTTTCTTTGTTCCACAATGCCCTTCCATCCAGCAGCTGACGTCTTCAGCTCTTCAGCTCTTCACCTCTTCAGCTCTTCACCTCTTCACCTCTTCAGCTCTTCAGCTCCTTTTCGTATCTCAACATGCCTGCCTGGTAATGCGTTCCCTGTGCCCCTCTCTCCCCCAACTACCCCCCCCAGTGGTCGCTCCTTCCTCATCCGCAAGGAGCTGCCCCCTGGTTCCACCATGCCCTTCCCCGCAGTTGAGCCCTGCAGCACCTCCGTTTTGATTCAATGAGCATGCACGTCTCTCCTCCCATCTCCCCCCCCTCCCCCTCCCCCCCCCCCCTCCCCAGTGGTCGCTCCTTCCTCATCCGCAAGGAGCTGCCTCCTCGCTCCACCATGTCCTTCCCTGCAGCGGAGCTCGTCAGCACCTCCCGAAATATTCAACATGCATGTCACTCCGCTCCGCCTCTTTCCCCCTTCCTTCCCCCCCTCCCCCTTCCCCCCGGCCCCCTCCCAGTGGTCGCTCCTTCCTCATCCGCAAGGAGCTGCCGCCTCTCTCCACCATGTCCTTCCCCGCAGCGGAGCTCTTCAGCACCTCCCTCTCCACCTCCATCCCAAACATCACCGTCTATGTGCCAGGTAGGTGCCTTTTTCCCCTACACTTCTGAGAAGGGCCTCCTCCACGCTCCCTTATCTCTTCTCTGTATCTCCGGACCTATACCCTTCTCCACATCCCTTCCCTGTACATTCCATTTGGGTCGTTTCAAAACGAAATGAGCTCGTCAGCACCTCCCTCTCCACCTCCATACCAAACATCACCATCTACATGCCAGGTAGGTACACTGCCACTCGAGAGGTCCCATTTTACCCTTACATTCAATCGCTTTATTTTCCCCTTGGGCTCTTCCTAAACGTGTTGAGCTCTTCAGCACCCTCCCTCTCCCACCTCCGTCCCAAACATCACTACCTACGTGCCAGGTAGGTACACTGTCCCCCCTCATATCCTCTCATACACCCCTCTCCTCTCACCACCTCCCTGTTGAGAATTTGACGGATTCGAACCGCAGCAAGCCTTGTGCCCTCGACTGAACTTAACTAAAAGCTAACTGAAATGGTAGGGTGGGTCACTCGAGTAGGAAAAGCATAGAAAAAAGGACTGCAATGAGTCACTTAGTAAAGAACTGGAGGCGTACGTACGTTTCTCCCATACACTCCTCTCTTCACCACCTCCCTGTTTACCTGCACTTCCAACATCACCGTTTACGTGCCGGGTAGGATCCTTTCCTCCTTTAAGCCCTTCTTTTCTCCCCTATCCCTCCATGTACTCCTCCGCACCTCCCTCTCCACCTCCACTTTTGAGTCGACTCAAAAGCAACCTCCCTCTCCACCTCCACTTTTGAGTCGACTCAAAAGCAACCTCCCTCTCCACCTCCACTTTTGAGTCGACTCAAAAGCAACCTCCCTCTCCACCTCCACTTCTGAGTCGACTCAAAAGCAACCTCCCTCTCCACCTCCACTTTTGAGTCGACTCAAAAGCAACCTCCCTCTCCACCTCCACTTTTGAGTCGACTCAAAAGCAACCTCCCTCTCCACCTCCATCCCAAACATCACCGTCTACGTGCCAGGTAGGCGCCCTTCTTCCCCCCCCCCATAGCCTCCCATACACTCCTCTCTTCACCACCGCCCTGTTCACATACATTCCCAACGTCACCGTCTACGTGCCAGGTAGGTATCCTCCCCCCCTTATACCCTTTTGCGAAGAAGGGCCGATTCCACGCCCCCGAATCTTTTCTCCGTGTATTTCTGGCTATTGCTCGACGCGCTGCTCCCTTCAGCACCCCGCTGCCTGCACCCCCCTCATCATCGTCTTTCTCCCTCGTCACCGTATACGTGCCGGCTGACTTCTGAGTTGACTCGAAGGGTGCTTCTCCTCCCATCTCTCAATGTCGTTCCCCCCAACATCCTTGCATGCTTCTCCACTTACCCTACATCATCACTCATCCTTAGTGCGCCCATCTACATCATTGCAATGTACTAGCACCCTCCTCAATCTCACTCTCCCCCGCCATCTTTCTCCATCCGTTATTGTCACAATCACACCAGGCACCGCCTCCTGGGTGACGTCACTGTTCATTTGGATCATTCAGTTTGCCGCCCGGGTTTGGCCCTTCAACCGCCTGCTGGAATCTGCCATCCGCATGCTGCCCACCCCAGATACTACCCCTGTAAGCATGCTGCCCACCCTACATACCACCCCGGTAGGTTGTTCCGGTGCTCGTTTGAAGGTAAGTGTTTCTTCTGTTCGCCGCCCAGGTGGGCTTTGACCCCCCCACTCGCCCGGGTGTGGCGCGTCAACTGCCTCCTGGAATCCGCACTTCGCATGCTGCCCTCGCCTGACGCCACTCCAGTTAGTTTCCTTCACATCGCATGCTTTGGCTTCTTCTGGTGGGCTTTGACCCCCCCACTCGCCCGGGTGTGGCGCTTCAACCGCCTCCTGGAAGCTGCTGTCGTTTCTCGACACCACTCCAGCATGTATCCTCTGGTGCTCGTTTGAAGGATAGTATGCTTCAAAGGCCCAATACAGGCATGGCTTGTGCCGGGGAGGTGGTTGACTTGACAAAGCCAGTCAGCAAGCCGCCCCCCTACAGGGCCAGAGGCCCAATGCACATGTACCAGGGAGGTGGTTGGCACAGCCAGTCAGCAGGAAGGAAGTAATCTTGCCGCATATGGTGTACTCTTTCTCCTCCATACCCCTTGGCTCTCTTGCCTGCAGGGCTGCAGGCTAAATGCGGGCATGGCATGTGCCGGGGAGGTGGTTGACACGGCCAGTCAGCAGGAAGCGATCTCGTTGCATGTTGTGCACTCTTTCTCCTCCATGCTTCTCTCTTTCTCCTCTCTATACTTTCTCTGCCTACAGGGCCAGAGGCCCAATCCGTTCATCGCAGGTACCAGGAAGGTGGTCAACGCTGTCAGTCAGCAGGAAGGAGGTAGTCTTCTGCACTCATGTGTGTTGTGCACTCATGTGTGTTGTGCACTCATGTGTGTTGTGCACTCTTTCTTCCCCATGCTCCTCCCTTCCCCCCCGGCAGGGTCAGACGCCCAATACAGGCATGGCATGTTCCGGGGAAGTAATCGACACAGCCACGAGGGATGTGGGCCTAAACCATACTGCAGGCCCAATGCCTTTTGAGGCGCCTCAAAAGCCATGCCTTGTCTCCCTTTCCTGCAGGGTCAGACGCCCAATTCGGGCATGGCTTGTTCCGGGGAGGTGATTGACACTGCCTCGAGGGATGTGGGCCTAAACCATACTGCATGCCCATGCCTTTTCTCCCTTCCCCCCCTGCAGGGTCAGAGGCCCAATACAGGCATGGCATGTTCTGGGGAGGTGATCAACACGGCTAGTAACGAGAGGCACAGGGCCTCTGTGATTGTAGGCGAAGGTGAGTATACTGCTTGCCCTCGTTTGATTTGAATCTGACTGTAGGAGGCAGAAGGCCTCCGTGATTGTAGGTGAAGGTGAGCCTTGTAGGGGTCCACCATGCTATTGAATCGAAATTGATTGTCGAAGGTGAGTAATGTAGGGGTCCACTATGCCCTTGAACCTGAAGGTGATTGTAGGCGGAGGTGGTTGACACTGCCAGCAACAGGAGGCACAGGGCCTGTGTGATTGTGGGCGAAGGTGAGTATAGTGATTGGTCGCTCCCAGTGCTCTCACTAGATTCGAAATATTACTGCTCTCTTGCCATGTGTCCTGCTCTTCCTGTACCTTCCCTTCGCCTTTTAGCGGGTTCGCAAGGATAAACAACCACTCTTACTAACCTGTTCTTACTCTCTGCCCTATATGTGTGTGCCGCTTTCCAGGTTACCGTTTCACTCCCAATTGCAGACTGAAGGTCACACATAAAGGCTTCTTGGGGCACCTCAAAGTATCTTACTTCCCACTTTCCCTTTGTCTTGTCCAGGTTACCATTTCACTGCTAGTTGCAGCGTGGAGGTTGCGCGCAGGGTGTTACAAGGGGAGTTCAAACCTGGTTACCAGGTATCAATGCATATCAGGGCAATTGTGATATGGCTACCTTTCCACCTTAACCTTCTGTTTCCTCTTTTTCCGCACTTCTTGGGGCTGTCTGACTTAGAGAGTTCTCAGAAGCATAACTCTTGGTTGTCTGTGCTGTTGCCAGAGAATGTCCTCCATCTTGAGTTATTAGTTGGCTCAAAAGATTTTTCAGTCGACTCGAAAGATTTTTCAGTCGACTCAAAAAGTTTTTTTAGTTGACGTCGTCTGTGCTGTTGCCAGAGTGACCTTCATGCTGAGTCGTTTTTGCAATGTTGTCTGAACCCTTTGCCCTTTAACCTACACTTGCCTTCCCCCCTGTGCCTTTGCTTCATTCAGACCCCAGTCACAGCCTTTGGCGCCAGTCTGGTGCAGCAAATTCCAGGGGAGAAGGTGGAGATAGTGGACTTGGACTAGTTCTTGCGGTGCTGGACTTGTGCTTGTGGTGCTGCCATGGTATTGCTGTCTGCTGCACGTGTAGGGAGGGAGGGGGTGCCAGTCTTGTGCAGCAGGTTTCAGGGGAGAGGGTGGAGATAGTGGATGCGGACTAGTGCTGCCGCAGTTCAGATTAGGCGGGTAGTTGGTGCTTCATCAGTTGCATCTGTCTCATTGTGATGTAGTCTTGTGCAGCAAACTCCAGGGGGGAGAGTCGAAATACCATAGCGAATTTGGACTCGCCGCTTCTCATCGTATATGACACTCTGGTGTCAGTCTGGAGCAGCGAACTCCATGGGGGAGGGATGAAAAACCATAGCAAATTCTGACTCGCCGTTTTTCATGGTATATGGCCCTCTGGTGTCAGTCTGGTGCAGCTAACTCCAGGAGAGAATGGAGAGAGTGAAATGGAAGATGCCTTTTGCTATGGTGGGGTAGGTAGAACATTTCTGGTGCCAGTCTGGTGCAGCAGACTCCTGGTGCTGGGGGGTAGAGCTAGGCTTTGGATTTGGAAAAGCACTGGGGGGATTGGGCCAGGCCAAAGTTTGGTGGACAGACTACCTAGATCACCACAGCATGTTCTAGTATAGTCACCTCAAAAGCAATCTACATGTCAGACTTTGTCCCTTATTTCACTTAACAAGTACATGCATGAAGATGGTAAATTATTCTGAGACAGAAAAAAAAAAGCTGTAAATATTGGAACTACCAAGAACACTTTCAGCGGTTAATCCAGAGAGTACCCCTAGTTATTCCCCTTACCCTCTCCACCAAACGTATTTTGAGTCGACTCAAAATTATTTCCCTTACCCTCTCCACTAAACTTCACCCTTACTCTTACAGGCCACATTCCTCCCAATCTCCTTGCCACCCTTCAGATTTCCCCTTCTAATCCCGCCCCTCGCCCATCTTTCAACCGCATTCCCCGAAACAAGCTGTCTTCACAACTTCTCACACCCCTCACCTTCTGCTCCTCTTCTCCTTCTCCCTCTCTCTATCCTCCTCATCTCTCTCCCTCACCCTTCCACGATCCTTCCCCCGCTCTCGCTCCCTTTCTCTCTCCCTGTCCTTCCCACACTCCCTATCTCTCTCCCTATCTCGCTCCCTTTCCTTATCCCTCTCTCTATCTCTGTGCCTGTCCCTGTCTCCCTCCCGCTCCTTTTCCTTCTCTCTGTCTCTATCCTTACCTCTCTCCCTATCCCTCTCCCTCTCCTTACCTCTATCCTTATGTCTGTCACTATCCTTCTCACTATCCCTCTCACCACGATCCTTCTCTTTTGACTCCCTGTCTCTCTCCCTATCCTTCCCCTTATCCCTCTTCCTGGCTATCTCCCTGTCTCGTTCCCTATCCTTCTCCCTTTCCCTATCTTTGTCCCTCTCCTTTTCCTTATCGTTTCTATCCTTCTCGTCCCTCCCCTTTCCCTTCTCCCTATCCTGTGACGTACCACCCTCATCACTACCTGAATCCCGCCCTTCCCCACTCTTCTCCCTCTCCTCTCTCTCCTCCTTCCCTCGCCCTCTCTCCCACTCCCTACCTCGTTCCCTCGCCCTATCCCGCTCCCTCTCCCTCTCCCTGCTCCTGCTCCTGCTCCTGCTTCTGCTCCTGCTCCTGTCGCGGCCCCGTCTCTCCTTTGAACTCTCATGCTCCCGGTGCTGAGAGGAGGACACCTGCCTTCTGCTTCCTTCACTTCCCTCCTCTTTTTCCTCCCACCCTGCTGCCACCCCCACCTCCTCCCTTCTCCGCCCTGCTTACCGTGACAGGTGGTATCAGGAGCACGGGGGGTTGTAGCGAGGTGATTGCAGCAGGGGTGATTGTAGCGGGCATGATTGCAGGAGGGGGATGAGGGGTTCCGGTAATGGTGGTGGGTTGAAGGGAGAGTCAAGGGCGGTTAGGAAGGAAAGCGAAAAGATTCGAGCACATAACAGCCAACCAACAACGCTCGCAACAGAAATACACAAAAACGAAGGGGAAAAAACAGATGTAACAAGCACGCAACAATCGCGTACCCGGAGTCCCAAGCGCTGCCCCATATGCAGCCGCCGCATGCCGCCCGCCCGAGGTCGACCGGCCAATCATAGGCGGCCACGTGCCGGCAGCCATTTCCTCTTCGAGCTTCCTCCTGTGCGCTGCAACCTTCACATCCACCTCAATCGCCTTAAGATTCTGAGCCTCCAAAGCGTCTCGATACTCCAACACCGCTAGTTCCAGCTTCCTCTGCCGCACCCTCCTCTCCTCCTCCTGCTCCTGCTCCTGAGCGTGCATCTGCCTTCCCTGGATACCGCCCCCCCCAGAAGAGATGGAGTTCCGGTGAGCGGCGGAGGTGCGCCGGGGTGGTGAGTCTTCTTCCTCATCACCTGAAGAGTTGTATGCCGCTACAATCGAGGCTGCTTGAAACGGGGATGAAGTTCCGTGCTTAACTCTAGCAGCAGCACCATCTTCGTCAGTCACTCCCACCGATTCCCTCCTCCTCTTCCCCTTCTTCGCCCCTCTCTCATCCCCCCCCTCCTCATCCCCATGCCCTTCTTCCTCTCCCTTTCCTTCCCCCTCCTCCTCTTCCTCCTCGTCCTCATCCTTATTCCACTTAGACTGCGGCAAAATAACCGCTTTTTTCTCTAGCTTTAGCTTAACAGACTTGAGCAGAGGCCCGAGCTTCTCAAGCTTCTCTAGTTTCGATCCAAAGGCTTTAAGCTCCGGAGTAGGCAGGACAAATTTCTTCGGCAAAGCACCACCGCCCCCAGCACCAGCACCATCACCATCGCCTCTGTTCTCCTCCTTCTCCTCCTCTCCTCCCTTTTTCACCTCCACCCAGCCAGACCACCCCACACTCCCTTCCATCCTTCTCGCAATACTCGCCCTCCTCGCCTCTGCTGCTGCCGCTGCCGCAGCAGCAGCCGCTGCAGCTGCCTCTGCCTCTGCTGCCTTTTTCGCCTTATCAGCCGCATCCAGGGAGAGCAGGCGATCTACCATGATAAGCACCCCCCCTCGGGTTGATAAGCCGTTGTGCTTGCAGCGCCGCTTGAGCTCCACCAATGGAAGAGCTAGGAGCTCCTTTCGTGCTGCGTCCTCTGCAGAAACAGGTGCAGTAGAATCTGCTGCTGCGTCTCCCTCCGTTGCTGCTGCTGCTGCTGCTGCTGCTGCTGCTGCTTCCGCCCCTTCTGCTGCAGCAGCACCAGCAGTTTCAGCACCAGCACCTGCAGCAGCAGCAGCAGCAGCAGCAGCAGCAGCATTACCCCCTTTACTAGCATCCTGCGAGCCCCCAGTCCCAGCCCCTACCCCTGCTTGCTCCTCCTCCTCCTCATCCTCAGGCAAAGTATGAAACGGCGGCACCGCCGTCCCTATTGGCCTCAGAAACGTCATCCTAAGCCCGTTGAGATACGCCTCGGAGAACAAAAACCAGTCGGCCCAAACCTGCAGCACCTTCATCACCCGATCCTTCAGCGCTTCGGCCGTCATTCTGCCCGAAACCGCACTCAGGCAGTCGTTAAAACTCTCCATTACGTCGGGTAAATACCCCTGGAAAGCCGTCCGGTATGCCGAGGCGTTTCGCACTGGGGCGGATGAGTTGTGGAGTATATCCGATACAAGCATCAGGCGCGCGACTTTAAGGGGGATGGGCGTTTCGAGGAGGGTGAGAGACTCGATGAGCACCTCAACCACGTCCGTTGCTGCCTCTGCGTGGTCCAGGGCAAACGCCATGGCGCTGCAGATGTCCTCCCTCTCTAAGGTAAGGCGCCGTAGCATGTCTTCGAACTTGTCCCTCTGCTTCTCAGTCAGCGAGTGCTCCTGGGGGCACACCGCAGGGGCCAGGTAAGGGGGGGTTGGGGTGGGGGGGGATCATTGAGAGGGTGACACAGCATAGTATGCCTTAAACTTGCACCTCTGCTTCTCAGTCAGCGAGTGCTCCTGGGGGCACACCGCAGGGGCCAGGTAAGGGGGGGTTGGGGTGTGGGGGAGATCATTGAGAGGGTGACACAGCATAGTATGCCTTAAACTTGCACCTCTGCTTCTCAGTCAGCGAATGCACAAAGAAAAGCCGGATGGAACGAGCCAAGACGAGACGAGACGAGACGAGACGAGATGAGACGAGACGAAGCTGAAGCAGACGAAAAGAGAACCAGATCGCGCAACCCGCCCTTGTCCGTCTCAGGCAGAGGGCGGCGAATGAGGCGAGAGGGAGGTTCACCTGCCACTGTCAGCCCCTCGCCACACCTAAGGTGCCCCCATTGCCATACCCTGGGTTTCTTCCCATTGTCTTACTTACCTTGGGTTTGCCTGCAGCATAGGTCGACCCGCCCTTGTCCTTATCCAGTATTGTGGGTCCCACGAGCTCGTCTGTCTTGGGCAGAGGGGGCGGAATCCACCTGCCGCTGCCGGTGATCATGATATAGGGGTCCGTGCGCCAACGTTGTAGGGTGTCTCCCTGTATAGTCACATGGGGATATACAGGCACACAGGAGTAGAAGAGACGGGAGGGGAGGGGGGGGGGGGGGGGGGGGGAGGGAGAGAGGGAGAGAGGGGGCGGAGAGAGGGATAGAGGGGGGGGAGGAGAAGGGGTATATATTTTGGATAAGTACAGGCGGGATTACAAGAGGAGGGGAATCCACCTGCCTGCCGCTGCCATGTGATCATGACGTAGGGGTCTGCAATACCACAGGAGGACAATTATACCTGAGCGAAGGAAGGCTCGCCACACGTAGTACATGCGCTCTGGCGACAAGAGGGCAAATAAGAAGGAAAACAATGGAGTGGATCCCCCCCTGCCTCGTTGCATGATGGCTTGCTCCAGCATGCACCCATCGTTCAACAATCATGAGGGCCTTCCTGACAGCAAAGGGGCAACAGCATACCTGGGCGAAGGAGAAGACCCGACCCACATAGTACGTGTGCTCTCGCAACCCAAGGTCGAATAAGAAAGAGAACAGCGGGTTGCCCGTGCCCCTTTCCATAACTGCCTGCTCCAGCATGCACCCATCTGTCGTCCAGCACGTAGGGCGCCAGCAGAACTAAAGGGAGAAAAAAGAAGCCCACCTGGGCGAAGGAGAAGACCCGCCACACGTAGTAGGTGTGCTCTGGCGATCCAAGGTCGAACAAGAAGGAAAAGAGGGGGTTCCCCCTGCCTCGCTCCATGATTGCCTGCTCCAGCATGCACCCATCGTCCAGCACATAGAGCGCCAGCGTGTCGATGACGTGGCGCTGATGTGGATCCTTGGGGGGGACGATCTGGATGTCTGCCACGTTGGGCGTGATGATCTGGAAGAGGGAGAGGGAGAGAGAGGGAGAGAGAGGGAGAGAGAGGGAGAGAGAGGGAGAGAGAAGGGGTGAACACGGAGTGATCAGAGCATAAACAAAGAGTACGTCCATGTGTCTGGCACGTTAGGATTCTGGATTACAAACCCTTGACCAAGTAGTAAAGTACTCAACCCTTGTGCGTTCTCTGCTCCCAGATTCGCCATCCCAACAGCAGCGGCGGTAGCAGCAACAGCAGAACCAGGCACCCCTGGCTGGCACTACACTGTTATGAGATAAACCCAGAACAATCAACCGTGAAGGCTCGACCACACACCTCACCACGTTGGCGTTCTCTGCTCCCAGACTCGCAATGTTAATTCCGGCAGCAGCAAGGGGGTCGGTACTAAGACTTTTGAGTCGATTCAATGGTCACTTCGACCACACACCTCACCACGTTGGCGTTCTCTGCTCCCAGACTCGCAATGTTAATCCCGGCAGCAGCAAGGGGGTCGGCACTGTTCCAGATAACACTGTGACTAGACGCAAACAGCCCCTTGTGAATTTGCCGGCAGCTAAACCATAACCTTTCACCTGAGCACTCACCACTTCTGCGTTCTCTGCTCCCGGACTCGCCATCTTAATCACAGCAGCGGCAGCCGGAGCAGCAGTGGCAGCCGGAACAGCAGCGGCACCAGCAGCAAGGGGGTTGGCACTATTCGCAATAACAGCACTGTTGGCAGCAACGGCCTCTCCTGAGTTGAGCGGCAGCTAAACCATAGAACATGAACATTCACTGAATACTCACCACTTCTGCGTTCTCTGCTCCCAGGCTCGCCATGTTAATCGCGGCAGCCGCAGCCGCAGCAGCGGCAGCAGCAGCAGCAAGGGGATCAGCACTATTGGCAATAACAGCGCTATTGGCAGCAACGGCCTCCCCTGAGTTGGGCGGCAGTTCCTTGGGGCGCACGGCCATCTGGCCGGGGGGAGGCGCAGGGAGGGCCGACGCGGGCAGAGAGACCGCCTTGCCCCACCCGATTCGGATCTCATATTCGTATACCACCACGCCTGGGGAAGGGGAGTGTGTGTGGGGGAACGGAGGGGAAGCAAGACAGGAGGCAATGAGAGGGGGGGGGGGGAGAGGCGGCCTTGCCCCACCCTATGCGGATCTCGTACTCGTACACCACCACGCCTGGGGGAGGGGAGTGTGTGTAGGGGAACGGAGGGGAAGCAAGACAGGAGGCAATGAGAGGGGGGGGGGAGAGGCGGCCTTGCCCCACCCTATGCGGATCTCGTACTCGTACACCACCACGCCTGGGGGAGGGGAGTGTGTGTAGGGGAACGGAGGGGAAGCAAGACAGGAGGCAATGAGAGGGGGGGGGGGAGAGGCGGCCTTGCCCCACCCTATGCGGATCTCGTACTCGTACACCACCACGCCTGGGGGAGGGGAGTGTGGGGTGTACAGCAGGGGCAGCGGGAGGGGGGGAACAGATGGGATAACCGAGAAGTGCTGTGCTGGACACCTCACCACATCATTATGCTGAGAGTCCATCTCGTTCAGCTCGCTTCATAAACGCCACAAACACTCCTCCCCCCACCTCTTCCTCCTCTTGCTTCCTCTCCCTTCCTCCTCCCTTCTTCTCCCCATTCCCCGCTCCTTTATTCCCCCCCCCCACCTCTGCAACTCACAGTCCATCTCGTTCTTCGCCTTGGCAGCATCTGCCCACTTCATAAACGCCCCGAACCCGCACAAGTGCCCCAGCACCCCCTCCCTCACTTCCTCTCCCTCCCTCCCACCTTCTCCTCCCCTCATTCCCAATCACACTCTGCCATATCACACTCTGCCACCCCCCCCCCCCCCCCCCCCCTCCTCCTCCTCCCTCTGCCACTCACAGTCCATCTCGTTCTTCGCCTTGGCAGCATCAGCTCGCTTCATGAACGCCACGAACCCGCAGTTGCGCTGCCGCCGGTGCTCCTCCTCGGTGCGCGGCCACATGATCTTCACACTGGCTATGGGGCCAAATCTACCAAAGGTCCTCAGAAGAAAGTTCTCATCCACCTGAACAGGAGTGTCGAATGGGGGGGTGGGGGGAAGGTTAAAGCACCGCCTGTGCTCCTCCTCTGTGCGCGGCAACATGATCTTCACGCTGCGCTAACCCAATCTACTGAAGGTCCTCAGAAGAAAGTTCTAATCCACCTGAACAGGAGTGTTGGAAAGAAGGGCGCGGAGGGGGAGGGGAAGAGAGAAGGTTCAAGCATTCCAGCGCACCCATCGTCCGTCTATCAGTACCCCAGCAATACCCACCGTATGAACATTGGCTTGGTCGAGTGGGGGTCACAAGCCACTTACCTTGGGGGACAGGTTGCCGACATAGAGGTTGGTGGTGAGGGGGTCGCCCCCATCGTCAGTAGAGACGGTTGTGATGCCCAGAGGGGTGGCCATGAGAGGTGGCCCTGAGTCAAACTTTGACGGCTGCACAGGTACACAAGGGGGGTTGGGATGGGGGAGAGGGAGAGGGGGGAGAGGGAGAGGGGACAGGGATACGGGAGAGCGATAGTGAAGAGGGAGCAGGGCGGTGGAGGAGGCAAGTATGGTAGTACGAGGGACGAAGGGGGATGAGGCAGTTCGGGAACAGCATGGGGGGAGAACGGAGATGACACTTCACCCTGAATATGAGACACACTCACTCACCCTCCTCCGAACCCTGTATAGAAACGGCTGCTGCTGATCTGTGCCCACACCCCCCAGCAGCGATGGCTTTCCGTATGCCCCAGCAGCAGCCAGGCCGAACGGGAAATACAGGGGAGAACGACACAGAGAAAAGAGCCCCGAGACCAGAACTCACCCTCCTCCGAACCCCGTCAGGAAACGGCTGCAGCTGATCCGTGCCCTCACCCCCCAGCAGCGACGGCTGCCCCTCGGTGCCAAACGGCCGCCCTGCCGCCCTGGCCTCCGCTCGCTCCTTGAGCTCCTTCTCCCGCTGCTCTCGCAGCTCCTGCTCTCGCTTGAGCTCCTCCATGAAGAAATCGATGTTCCGCGGCTTCTTCTGCTCCTTCGCCTTGGGGATGGGCTCTGCTGGCTTTTCCGGCTCTTCCAGACCAAACGCCTGCGTGCGTGAAAGGAGGGAAGAGGACAGAGAAGTTAGTCATCATGACAGAAGCTCCTTCTCCCTCTGACCTCGCAGCTCCTGCTCTCGTTTGAGCTCCTCCATAAAGAAATTGATGTTGGGCGGCTGCTCCGGCTTCTTCGCCTTGGGGCAGCGGACCCGCTGGCTTGTCTGGTTCCTCCAGACCGAATGACTGACGGTAGGCAGGGATGGAGAGAGGGAGGGAGGGGAGGAAAGGCGAGAGAGGGAGGGAGGGGAGGAAAAGCGAGAGAGGGAGGGGGATGGGGGGGGGGGGGGAAGAGGGAGAGAAAGGCACAAGGGGCTCCAGTGATTGGTTCACTAAAATACAGCATTGGTGACAGGAAAAAAAGGGGGGGAAAAGAAGCATTCTGTGCTCAATGCCACATTTTTTCAACAAAGGCACTCACATTCTTGTCCTTTTCCTTGACTCCCGCAAGCGGGCTTTGGGACGGAGGTGGCAGGAAGGACGGAACATACCTGCCATATACGAGGACACGAAAGACCAGGACACGGAAAGACCAGGACACGAAAAGAGACCGGAAAGAAAGAAGCAGGCAGTGGAGAAGACAACAAGGGGAAGGGAGGGGGGAAACGCGGGTTGGGGAAAAGGGGAGATACGGGAAATCGGCAGCCCAATAGCCATTTGGGGGAAAGGGAAAACTGTGCGGGGCAAGCCACAAAGCCATTCAAACCATTCCAACCAATGGTCACCAAAACCCCGCTTGAAAATTACCCACCAGACCTTATCACACATTCAATCACACCCGGCAGCCGCTGTCCCTTCACCCAGACGAAGAATAAAAAGAAAAGACAATCTGACGCGAAATGGCATTCTGGGATAACAGTTCTGGGGGATTCTCGGCCTGCCAGCCGAAATCGCATCACCCTGAAACTTTCCCAGGCATCTCCGATCTGAGATCTGATACGATATGATACGCCGAGGGAAGAGGAATGTCGGACGGACAGGAGGAGGCGGAAGGCCTCACCTCGCGGTGGCCTTTTTGGAAGCGCTTCCAGATTCTGCAAAGGAGATATGTTCAGCATAAATGGGTACATCACAGCCTATTAATTGAGACGAATCCCTCTAAAACGAGTCTGTCACAGCCTGACGCGACACAACATGCCGTAGAGCCATCTCTAGAATCAGCAGATCCCGCGAAGACAAAGCGAAGGGTTACGGAGACGAAAACAGTGACGGAAACAAATCGCCGGCTGGCCGCAGGCCAAGACGCGAGAAAATGCATAAAAGCTCGCGAAAAGAACTACTCGTAAGGAAGTAAAAACCGCACAAGGGGAACATTCTTCCCACTAAGAGAGGTGCTTAACTAAGCAACTGTACCTTCACCAGGCGTGTCGTGCTTGGCGTTGGGGTTGATGGTTCCGCCTCGGACAAACGCCTTCGGCTTCTTATCGTCCACTTTAAAGGATTCGACGAATTCATCGTAGACTCGCGCCGCCTCCTCCGCTTCTCGCTGCAAGATGGAAATGACAAGATTAGGGTAAGAAGGTCAGGGTAAGAAGAGTCAAGAATATAGATAGCATTAAGCTTAATGTATCAAACGAGCCGGACACAGATTCGGGTTAAGAGCTACTATTGGTCAAAGCTTGGACCAACATGCGAGGAGATCAGTAAATTTATGACGGACGTCAATACAATCTTGACATGCGTTAGGGTAATGAGCAACAGGGTCGAAGCCTTGAGCAATGTTAGAAGGACCAAGCAAATAAGGACGTAAAGGCAATATTCAATGAAAAGGGGACAATGATCCTCCATAGTGACGAGTTACCCGTTTCTTCGCCTCCTCGTCGCGATGCTTCTGAAACGGGGTTTTCTTCTTCGCTAGCGAAAACGCCTTCATTGTGACTCAGCCGAGCGACGTCGATTCGTCACATCAATCAGCAGCTTATGCAACCCCTAGCGGAGTGAGGATGAGCCTCTAGATGCAATAGTAGGCTGAGAAGGCGAAGGACGAAGTTAGGACTTGATTCAGAAGGCTAGGTGACCTGCTGGTGAGTCCTAGGTGACTGATGGATTATCCTGCTTGTTCGTGATTGGCTGGGAAAAACGCCTTGGTGATGGTTGTCACCACCACCACCTCGATTGTGCCGAGTATGCCGCGACCATATTCGCAATTGGTTCAGGGTTTGATTGTAACATAGAAATAATCAGGATTACCGGATAAGATCACCCTATTCGTTTCATCCATATCTGCAGGTCAATAATAAACCATGGGCTCACGATAACCAGAACTAAGGTTGCACAAACAGCTAAGGTACCGTACATCAGTGCAAAATTCAGTGCACATTAGGTCAAAATTCGATCTCTTCTCAATAACAAGCCCCTAACCACATCACGGCAACAATTACACTCAATGTTGCAACTCCCTTCAGTGCGAAACGCCCTTGAGCACATCAAAATAGTCAGGGAACGTCTTGCGGGTGCATCCAGGGTCCCGAATCACCACCGGCGTTCCGGAGCAGGCGGCGAGCGCGAAAGACATGGCCATGCGGTGGTCGTCATACGTGTCGATCTCCGCTGGCAGCACGCGCTCGGGCGGCGTGATGATGCAGTAGTCAGGTCCCTCCTCCACATGCGCTCCCAGCTGGGGAGGGGAGGGGGGGGTTGGGAAGGGAAAATAGGTGGGCTCCAACTTAAGGATGCTACCGCATTACACAAAGGTCCGCACCCTCCTCCACATGCGCTCCCAGCTGTGAGCAAGGGAAGGGAGGAGAGGGACAGAAGAGGTGGGTGTGTGGAGCGCGAAGGACATGGCCATGCAGTGGTCGTCATACGTGTCGATCTCCGCTGGTAGCACGCACTCTGGGGGGGGGGGGGGGGGAGGATGATGCAGCAGTCCGCTCCCTCCTCCACATGTGCTCCCAGCTGGGGGGGAGGGAGGTTAAAACAGACAAGAGATAGGGAAAAAGAGAGATAGGGGTGTTTATGGCACCTGCGCTCCCAGCTGTTGGGGGGGGGGAGGGAGAGGCAGAAGAGAGACAGGGAACTAGCATGGTCACACACATATTAGAGTCACACACACATGAGAGTCACACACACATGAGAGTCACTTACCTTGGTCAATTCAGTGCAGATAGCGATCATCCGCTCCGTCTCCTTCACACGCCACGTTCCCACTGCAGAGACACAAGAGAAAGGGGGGGGGCATGAGGGGGACAGGGGAGGGGAGAAGAGGCAAAACGAGAGGGGGTTGGAAAGATGGGGGAAGGGCAGTGGGGGCCTCTGCAAAGGGAGCCACGGCAGGCAATGTCGCCCAAACCGCATACCTTCCTCTTGAGACGTCTCCAAAGTCATACCGTCCTGTGTGTAATGTCACTACAGGTGGTACCCCTGGACCTGGTTAGTAACTCAAGTGTCCCTTACCGTCACGGATGGCAGTGGGACCCTCGGCAAAGAGGGCCACAACGGCCAATGTCATGGCGACATCTGGCATCTTGTTCATGTTCACATCGATGCCCTTGAGCCGCCGGATGCTCCCATTGGCTGCAGGAGGCGGCCCCGTTACAGTCACACTCTCCTCAGCCCACGTCACTGTAGCACCCATCTGCTCGAGCACTGAAGCGAAGTGCACGTCACCCTGTAACGAGTACAAACGTCAAGGCAGAAGGGGGTGGGGAAGAAGGGCGATGGGGGAAAAAGGACATCATCCGGTAAACAGTACAAAAAGGAGGTGGAGGGAAGGGAGAGGGTGACCCATGAGGGTGCAATTTTTGAGGCTCCTCAAAGAAAGGGTGACCCATGAGGGTGGGGGAACATATAAGGTGAACATATAAGGTGAACATATAAGGTGAACATATAAGGTGAACATATCACATATGGTGTCATGCCACACCCAGACACAGTGAGTCCCGCCAGTGATGGCAGTACCAGCAAGGAAGTAGCTCATTCTGTTACTACAATCACCTACAAACACATTCTCTTCCTTGCATCCTCCCACTGTACCAGAAATACCTGGAGTCTGCTCCTCCCTCCCACACCCGTTCACCGTGCCAGTCCCTCCCTGTATCATTGTAATCACCTATCTACATGGCCACAATCGCCTAATCACAATCATTACCTGCAGGCTGCTCCTCCCACACCCATGCACAGGAACAGTCCCTCGAGCGATGGCACAATAACAGCACAACAATAACAGCACAATACAGCACAATAACAGCACAATAACAGCACAATGACAGCACAATAACAGCACAATAACAGCACAATGACAGCACAATAACAGTGCATTCACACGTCACTATATCACTGCAAGCAATCTTCTGATTAGACAGCTGTAATCGCCTGCAATCACAATCACTACCTACAAGCTGCTCCTCCCACCCCCGTGCACAGTCACAGCGCCCTCGGTGATGGCAGCACCAGCAAGGAAGTAGCTGGCACTGTAACAGTGCATCAATCAGTGTAATCATCTATATATACTGCTAAAATCGCATAGAATCACTATTCTTACCTGCAGGCTGCTCCTTCCACACCCATGCACAGTCACAGTGCCGCCAGTGATGGCAGCGCCAGCAAGGAAGTAGCTGGCGCTGGACGCATCGCCCTCCACAAACGCACGCCCAGGGGAACTGGCAGATAAGAGGGGGAGGTGCAGATGGGGGTGGGAAGGAGAAGGTGGGGAATGGAAGGGAAGGGGTGATGGCAGCACCAGCAAGGCAGTAGCTGGCACTGGACGAGTCCCCCTCCACAAAGGTGCGCCCAGGGGAACTGGCGGATAGAAGCGGAACGGGGAGAAGAAAAACGGGCACAAGGGGACGGGCAGAAGGGCGACGGGCAGAAGGAGGACGGGCAGAAGGGGGACGGGCAGAAGGAAAATGGGCAGAAAGGGGTGGGAAGGAGAAGATGGGGAACTGAAGGGAAAATATTTATGGCAGCACTGGCAGGGAAGCAGCTCACACTGGATGCGCCCCCCCCTCCACAAGGGGAGCTGAGAGACAGACACGGCAGATGATGGGGAAAGAGAAGAGACAGGCACACTCACTCACTCACTCCCACACCCACCCACACACCCGCACGCACATGTGCGTCTGGTTGCCGGGGATGGCGAATCGCTCCCAGACGCCCTCTGTCTGCACGGCCAACCCCTCACTCACTCACGCACTCACTCACTCACTCACTCCTCACTGACTCTCACTCACTCACTCTCTCAGACACATGTGAACGTACACACATGCACGCACGCACGCACGCACGCACACATGCACACACCCACCCACCCACCCACCCACCCACCCACCCACACACCCGCACTCACATGTACGTCTGGTTGCCGGGGATGGCGAAGCGCTCCCAGACGCCCTCTGTCTGCACGGCCACCCCGAACCGCTCCATGAGGCGCAGCGTCATCTCCACATACGGCACCGACACCAGCTTGTCGATCATCTCAATGTAGCTGTCGCCTTTGGCTAGAGGAAGGGACATGAGGAGGGCCGTGAGGTACTGGCTGCTGACAGCCCCTGACAGCTTCACCTGAAAGGGCACCGAACAGAGAACATAGCAAGGAGGGGGAGAGGGGGTCAACTCCACATACGGCACCGACGCCAGCTTGTCGATCGTTTCGATGCAGCTGTTGCCCTTGGCCAGGGGTAAGGACATGAGAAGGGCCGTCAGGTACAGGCTGCTCACTGCTCCTGACAGCTTCACCTGGGGGAGGGTGGAGGGAGGGTGGAGAAGTGGCATACAGCAGCAGGAGGAGAGGGGGTCGATTCGCAGGCACACCCCAGCTTTGGCAGCCCACACCTACTGCTGGACCTCTTGACCGTAACCTAGACCCCAGTGAGCTATTGTGAGTCGACTCAAAAGTCACCTCTTGACTGTAACCTAGACCCGAGTGAGGTATCAAGCCTCCTACCGTGCCTCCAGGCAGCCCCCCCTATTCCGCCACATGCACGGGCGGGCAGTTGGTACCAAGGGAGCACTTGCAGTCGCACCCCAGCTGCTGCAGCCCACCCACTTACACCCACTACCATCGGCCTTAACCATACTCAATTAGAATGGAAGCCTTACCGTGCCTCCAGGCAGTCCTCCCTTGGCCGCCACGCGCACAGGCGGGCAGTTGGTCCCCAGGGAGCACTCGCAGTCGCACCCCAGCTGCTGCAGCCCGCTCACGAGGTCGCCTATGGGGCGCTCCCGCATCCTGGGAACTCCGTCCAGCACATAGCTGGTGGGGAATGGCAAGGGGTTCGGAAGGGGGGAAGTGAGGCGGGGAAGGGGGGTACTCACTCACGAGGTCCCCTATGGGGTGCCCACTGCCCACGCATCCTGGGAACTCCGTCCAGCACGTAGCTGGTAGTGGGCAGTGGCAGCCGGGAGAGGGGGAAGGGTGGGAAAGGGCTGGGAGAAAAGGAGGTGGGTGGGGAGGGAGAGAGGGAGGTGGCGACTAACTCACGAGCCCCCCTGTGGGGCGCTCCCTCATCCTGGAAACTCCGTCCAGCACATAGCTGGTGGGAGAGAGGTGAGGGAACAGGTGAGGTGTGGGAATGCCTAATCCAACGCACACACCTCTTGTTGCCCCCAGCCACCGCCAGGGCAGCAGTAAGCGGCCGCATGGCCGCATGGCCGTGCCCGCGTTCCCCAGAAACAGATCCACCAATCCCCGTCCTGCCCTTCATCCCCTTCTGCCCCTCGTCCCCCCGGCATGAGACAACCTAACATATCCAACATGCGCACCTCTTGTTGCCTCCAGCCACCGCCACGGCAGCAGTAAGCGGCCGCATGGCCGTGCCCGCGTTCCCCAGAAACAGATCCACCACATCCCCTTCCGCGCCTTCCGAGCCCTCCCTTCCTGCGGGGAAGACCCCCCCGCTGCCCGTGACTATCACCCGACGCTTGTCGGGGATCTCCACCAGGGGCACGCCCAGGGAGTGCAGGGCGGCAAGCATGTAGGTGACGTCATCACTGGCCAGCAGATTGTCCACCACTGTCTCGCCCTGGCGGGGTGGGTACAGGGGGGGGAAGAGAGGGGAGGAGGGGGGGTACACCGTACATGGGGTAGGAGTCAAGACGATCACCCGGCGCTTGTCGGGGATCTCCACCAGGGGCACGCCCAGGGAGCGACGGGCGGCAAGCATGTAGGTGCCGTCATCACTGGCCAGCAGATTGTCCACCACTGTCTCGCCCTGGCGGGAGGAGGGAGGTTGGGGAGGCATGTGGGAAGGATGCAAGAGAATGACCCCCACAACGGGCACGCCCAGGGAGCGAAGGGCGGGGAGCATGGACTCCAAGGAGGTGACGCCGTCATTGTCCACCAATGTCTCGCCCTGGTGGGGGGGTGGGAGGGAGGGGTCGACACGTGGGCGTGCGCGTGGGAAGAGGGAGATGGAAGACGAGAGAGAGAAGGGTGCAAGGCAAAGCACGTGGTAGAGCTGCCAGCCAGCACGTAGATGAAATGTACGGCAGAAAGTTGCACAGCACTTACAGAGCCTTTGGGTCTGCCTTTGACTCCACTCAAAGGAAGCCAGGGAGGGGAGAGCAACCTTCTGCCGTACCTTGGCAAGGGCAGCGAGCAGCAGCAGGAGGGTAGGTTGAAGTCGACAACTGCCGTGCCTTGGCAAGGGCAGCAAGCAGAAGCAGGCGCGGTTGGAGAGGGATTTGGAGCCAGGCAGGTTGACTGACGGTGCCTTAGAGCCTGCTTTTGAATCGACTCAAGGGAGAAAGCAAGGCGAGCAAGCAACCTTCTGCCTTACCTTGGCGAGGGCGGCCTTGTACCCGCACCTTGGCAAGAGCGGCGAGCAGCAGCAGGCGGTTGGAGAGGGACTTGGACCCGGGCAGGTTGACAGTGCCGCTGATCCGAGAGATGGGCTCCAGCGTGATGCTCTCCACCGCTGGGGCAGTGTGCGCTGCTGCCGCCACGGGATCACGGACTGCTGCAGCCGTCACTGCATGGGGGAGGGGAAAGGAAGGTTGCATTCAGGCGGGGATCGAGTCCAGCTTGATGCTCTCCACCGCCGCTGCCGTGTGCGCTGCTGCTGCCACGGGGTCACGGGCGGCTGCTGCCGTCACTGCCGAGATTTGGGTAAGGGGGGGGGGGAGGGGGAGGGGGCGGGGGGGAAGACGAGTCTAGTGATTGCATCTGAGAGATGGGCGGCTGCTGCTGCAATTGCTGCAGTGAGATTCTCGCTCAGATGCTCAGCGCACCGCTGCTTCCGTGTGCGCCTGCTACTATGGGTTGAGGGGTTGCTGCGATCACAATGGCGAAGCGTGCGATCAAAATGGCGAAGCGTGCGATCAAACTGGCGACGCCTGCGAGGGAGAGCACTGAACGCGCTGGGGTTTAGCGAGCGACGAGGCTGCTTCGCGTGCTTGCGAAATTAATCAACTTCAAAAGTGTGGTATGGTAAGTGTGGTGACGGGAACTTGATAAGCGTGGCAGGCACTCTGAATGTGCTGTGATAGAAACGAAGGAGACCTGAATTTCGAATCCCCCAGAGCACTCACCAGAGCGAGCTGCGGATTTCCTAAGTTGAACGCGCAAAGCTGCGAGCTCCTTCCGCTACGCGTAACAAAAACGGCCAGAAATTGGGGCACACCTGGACTTTAGACTCGCCAGTACGAGGGACACCCGGAATTAGCGCTCACCAGAGCGAGCTGCGGACTTCCTGAGCTGAACGCGCAACGCTGCGAGCTCCTTCCGCTGTCCGCGAGAGAGGAAGCTGAGATTAACACACAACAAGGAATGGCCACTAATCTCCATTAAGCGCCCATCATAAGTCACGATTGACCATCAGTCTGAAGCTTAACCGATCATCTGAATGCCGGAAGTATAACTTGCTAGTAGAACCGCCTCCGAAATCCACGAGCAATCTCAAGCCGACGTACCGCGTCTGGAGGCTGACGCTCTTCCGTCCATTCCTCTCAACCGTCGCGTGGCCGGTCAGCTGCCGGCACCTAACGGTGACGTTTTCCGCGACTGCAGCCGCCATTGTGAAAAGGATTGTTCTGTTCGGTTGGTCTCGAAACACGGGAGGAGGAACACGCTCAGTCGCGAGTTGCAGATGAAATCAACAGCGAGGATTCAGCTGCAGGAGAGACCAACGAAGTGATCAAGAGGAGGAAGTTGTGAAAATAGCTCCTGGCAGCCTGCCACACTGAATCAAGTACAGTAGCCACAAGTCGATTGTTGGGCTGGGTGAAAGAACGGGTGTGAAAACGGGTGTGGTCGGGGTAGGGGGATTCCGCATACAGTCACAAATGAACTCCAACACTGCTCCATTGGGTTGCAGAGATTTAGTGAAACCAAGGGGATGTTTGAGCTTGAGGATGAGAGTGTGACAGAAGAGAATGTGAAGCCAAAATTGCCGCCACGTAAGCTGTTACGAAGCCAGCTCAGAATTCCGTCCTCGCTGAAATGCTCTCCAATATCAAGTTGACACTTTACTAATTTTGTAAGCACCGCTTTCCGTTCAAACTACAGCTCAAGCCTGCCAAAGCCGACATCACCCACATTTGGCAGCTTCTAGGCTAGGGTAACTTTCGAGCATAACAGAGCAAGGCTGCTAGGACACTAATCACCTCCGCGCCTCCGTGGCGTTCGTGACCCTGTCCTGCCCGCGCCTACGTCGCAACTACTACGCTGCGTCCTATTCCGCATCAGCCGTCTGTTCTCGCCGTTTTCTCTTCAAACCCTCTCGAATTTCGCCATGGACATAGTATCACAGCTCCAGGACCACACCAACCACATCGCCTTCCTCCTGTTCAACACTGTCGGCACGCTCCAACGGGACGCCACTCCGTCAACCATTCCTGGTAAACCGCTTCCAGCGCCAACCACACCAGCCGCACCAGCTGCAGCTGCAGCAACGCCTTCACAGCCAGGAAACGGTCAGCCGGTTGCAGCCACTGGGCCCGGGAACGCAGCTGCCGGCGCCGGCATATCAGGTGCTGGCCTAACCGGGCCAGCAGCAGCAGCTAACGGAACGGGGGCACCTGGAGGAGCCGTTGGCCCTGGTGCAGCAGGCAACGACGCAGCAGGAACCGACGCATCGGTTGCTGCAGCACCAGCAGTCCCTGTTATAGAGCAGGTTCCGGAGATGGCGTCAGCTTTGGTTCAGGCGCTGAAGCTCTTTGACATGCTTGTGGACGCCTTGCCTCCTGACATTGACTTGACAGAAGAGGAGCAGCTTGAAAGAATAGCAGAGCTGAATGCTGAGAACGAGGCAGTCGCCAAGGAGATGGCTGCAGAGTTGGACGGGGTGGAGGAGGATTTGACAAAGGTTAGGCGGCTGTTTAAGAGAGTTGTTGACGGCTGCCTTCAGAACCCATCAGCTTGAATGCTACACGAACACCATTTCTTGTGGGCAATTTCAGCAGGGCCAGTTCTTAGACTAACTCTAGTCTGGCGACTCGGGTGAGTACAGGCGTTAAACTCATACAAAGACCCTATTCCTGCCATTGTGATTCAGGTGGAAACGTTCACATACCCTCGTCTGAAACCTTGGCAGGCAGTTAGTGGTGAAGTGAAGAGAATTGTTGTAAGTTCAGGTGTGGCGTTTGCAGTTAGTGAGTTATGGTGCAATCATTATTTGGGTGATTACAACTGGTACGATCAAAGCAGGCATAACTCATTATTTCGGCCAGATTGCACCAATTGGAAGCCAGAAAGGCACCGCAATTTAGGTAGCATGGATGCTTGTTAGGGTGAACGCACAGGCCATCGAGGTTAGACCTTAGATCCGAGGGGTAGTCAGTCTTGCTTATCAGAGAGGCCTTGTACTGAAGGTAGCACCTCGACGGCATTACATCCTATCGAGGCTTCGACCGACCAGAAGGTAGCGTGCTCAACTACGACCGTAGCAGCGGTAGAGAACGATCGTTGACCAGCGAATCAAAGAAGAATCGGCTGAACAAATGTGCGTATATTGGATCCACCTAACAAACGGTAAATAAGAAGGCAGCTCAATTACTCAGAAGGTTTTACAGGGTGACATTCGCTAGCCGCTATACATTTACAGCTCAACAACCTCGTCCACAGCAAAGTTGTTTGTGGACACGCCAGCGTAGTTCACCTTCTCGAATCTCACGACGACGGGGTAGCGAATGCCGCTCTGCAATGCAGAAGAAACGGATATCAGATTAGTGTGCCATAACAATCGGCAAAAAACTGGACTCACACGACAACCTAAGCCAACGATCGGATCTCCTAATCGCAAGTCACGCCTGCTCACCTGGTCAACGGAGACAACCTTGCCGGTGTCATTGAACCAGTAAGACTCGGGCCTGAGGACCTTCACGGTGGCACCGCGCTTGGGGCCAACGGCAGGGGCGGCGGCGGCCTTCTCCTCAGCGCGGACGGTCAACCTCACAACGCGGGAGGTGGAGACCTTGCTGCTGACAGCCACCTTCAGGGGTGCTGCGGCAGCCACAGAGCTAAGGGAGGAGGCGAGGGCAGCCATTGAGCTGTGTGGAGGTGGACGAGGTAGCTGTGTTGAGCTGAAGAGAAGGCGAAAATGGAGAATGCTACCAGGCGTCAAAGTGGAGCGAGATGGTCCACTGTCTTTTGGATGGAGGACGCTGGTAGCAGTCTGTTGGACTTCAGGTCCTCCCTGATTGAACCCAGGAGTTGCTCGCCTTATCCCCAACTTTCCACTCAGCGGCACCGGATTGGCTGACGAGGATTTTGGGGCGTCGGGAAGCACGGCAATATCAGCGGCTGATTTGTTTTCGCTCCACGCTGAAACGATTTCGACGGCGGGAGGGGTTTCGGGAAACTGGTGCGACAGATCCGAACGAAATATCCGTTCGCCAACTTCTAGTTCAAATAGCTACATGTAAAGAAAGTTTTGTGAAGAACTCCTTGTGTACTAGATTTCTGTGTCTCTTGTCTAGCATGAAGCCAAAGCAATATTACCGCAAAAAAGGACTGATTTATTCAATTTACAAGCATAATGCATTAAAATCACCATACAAAGGAATAAAAATCCACGTATAGCCTCCCATAAAATGCTGCATAATACAGGTGGTGATCCATGTCGAAGAGGGGACACTTCAAGATCGCTTCCATGAGAGAAGGAATAAATATATGTTCTTAATTATATATATAGGATAATGGGGAGAGAATGAAACAACATTAGATTGTAATATATAGACCAATTGAGGTTGTTTTTGTAGTAGATTCACAAGCACTAATATATGGCAAGTGGTACTTGCTTTGAAGTGAGACCCATTTCGTGCTAAAATCGCGCCAATTTTTCTCGAGTCACATCAAATGGTGCGCGAGCAGTGGTCCATCGACCAAATCTTCCCATATTCGGGTGATCTGACGGACGAAAATTTGACACCTGTTTAGTTTCCAAGGATCTTGGGAAAGAAATGCAGGTGCTGAGCTGATTTGTTCAGTGCCTGATTTCTACACGCGAGAGGGTCTCAAACTGGTCTGCAGGAGTGTACTTTTACTAGGGAACGCTGCCAGGTTTCGGCCATTTACCATGAAGCATGGCACACAGAATGGAACAAGGTGCCTGGTAACCGCTACACAATTGAGTCTGAGCCGAGCAGCACGACTTGGGATTCCGTCCTCGGAAAGATTGATGTGCTCCGCAGAAGGACAGCTAGGGAATGTCGCAGTCCAGTACAGTAGCAGCGACGGAAAGGCCTTCAGTTGGCTATTTCGTGGAACTCCTGTTAGGCACCTTCTGAACTTTTGGCTCTGACTTTCCAGGCGAGATTCCGTCTCAGGTCGAGCTCTAGGCTGACTGCAGCAGGCGGATCCGTTCTGTTTCCAAAGCTTGCTTGCTGCCCGCTTGCCGGTAGCAAGATAAGGATCCGCCGTCTTACTCGCCCGAGATTAGGTGACGAACATCTTGCAACCGCGTTTTTGTAGCAGACTTTCAGTAAGGATCGTTTGTCTCGGTATAGCTCCGACACCATGCTCTTCCTGCTCTCATGGCCTCTCCTGTAAGTTCGCAGCTTCACCTTGAAGCCTCCTCATAGCGTCGATTTACCATGGCCGTCTTTCGTCATTCGCGGGTCTCTGCATGGATACTGTATCTCGCGTACTGACACAATTCCTAACCCATACTTGTCTTCCTGTCATGCGTACAGATCTCTGCTGGGATACTTGTATCCGGCATACGCAACGTACAAGACAGTAGAACGACGGTCGTCAGAACCCGATGACTTTCGCTTTTGGTGCAAATACTGGTGAGTCTTCAGGCCAACCGGAAGCGCGAACTGTGTTTGGTTTAGGATCATGGATTACTGATTCAGCAGCGTGCTTTCCTACTTGGCTCGGCCAAGCTACGCTGTATGCGTGTTCAATCTTATCGTCATTCTTGATTCTGTTTCAGGGTGATTATGGCGGCATTCCACGTCCTCGAAAGCTGCCTCTTCTTTGGCCTGATCACCTGGTAGGTCTATATGAGTTTTGCCCTAGACTCCAATAAGTAAAAAGCGTTGAAACCGTCTCAGCGTATCTCGTGTTTTTTCCTCCCCCGGTTTTTTTTTCAGGCTTCCATTCTACGACGTCTTCAAGGTCCTCTTCTGCGTCTATCTCTGGCACCCGCGGACCCAGGTACGGATTCCTAGCTTCGTCCTATTATATTATCCGCTCCAGTAGCACCGCGTCCGCAATTCTCTCTTTACAGACACCGGGTTTTGCGAAATTCCACAAGATGGCATCTGGAACGTGTTGATTATTTTCTGAAACTTTGTCATCCATTTTCCGCGGCGTTCCTGCCGCCCTCATTTTACCAGGGCACGCTGCTGATCTACCACCGCGCCATCGTGCCTGCGTTGTCGCGCCACGAGCGCGAGATTGACAACAGGATTGCGGAGGTGCAGACACGTGGCATGGATCTGGCCGTTGAGTACTCTCGCCTCCTAGCATCTAAGCTCATGTCCCTTGCGAAGGCGGGCGCTGAGGCCGCTCCCAAAGTCTACGAACGTTACCAGGTGAGCGAAGAAAAGTAACGAAAGTTACCACGTGCGCGAACTCTACTAGGTGGAAACTTTTACCAGTTGAAAAAACGTGGTGCGACGAGGGCTGACAGATGAGAAACGGAAACGGAAACGGGTGAGTGAGATATTGCTGTGAGCAGACCACACTGACTTACGGTTGGTGATGAGAATTGATTATACGTGGGATCGTACTCTCTGACATGGGTGAAGTTGATGGCTTATGCAAGGGATGACTGGGCGACATCAGCTTGCCTCAAGGGACCTCTTTGTGCACGTCCGAACTTTGCAGCGGTATTGCTGTTCAGTGACCTTTGCGTCACTCCCTCTGTTGCAGTATCGCCATATACACCTGGCTGTAGTCTTCGAATTCCAACCCCTCCTCCATGCCTTCCTTCCTTTCCCGTCCTCCTTCCTGCACTTATCCCTCCTTTCCCACCTGCAACAAGCCGCTCCTCAACCTGCAGCCTCTGCTTTGTTCCACCTCTCTGCTCTTGTGTGATTGTATTCCTCTGGTTCATGTTTCCACCACCCCCTTGCCTTCGCTCCCACTCAGCAGCACGCCACAGCTCAGACTGCAGCTTTTGCTTTGAGTGATTGTTTTCCTCTGGTTCATGGTTCCCCCCTCCCCCTCTCGCCCCCCCTTGCCGTCCGTCCCTCTCAGCAGCACGCCACAGCTCAGCCTGCAGCTTCAACAGCATCCACCTCCTCCTATTCCTCGGGGGAGCTGGGAGAGAAGATCACGGGCACTGGAGAGCCAGTGGATTATGACTCTGTTCTTCGAGCCCGCAAGCCAACTTCCACTACCGGGATGGACTAGGCTGGATGGGTTATGCGATATAATATAGAGGCAAATATGAGGCTTCACTCTGCTGGGATGGACTAGGTGCCAGCTGTAGAATGTTGGGCAGCTGTCTCTCTCGCCTTGTTCACATGAGTAACTCATAGGAGTTCTGGTGTGTGCTCGAATTGCATGGTGCGATCAATGTAGTTCATCTTGGTGTGGGTTTTTAGGTATGCTTGAACGTTACAAGTCAGATTCAGCTCCTCATGTTCATTGTACTTATATTTGAAGTTTGAGTCATATTGTTCAGTGGTGTTCACTGTAATTACCGCTAGTTTTGCTGTCAGGGGTCTGCTCGACTCATCTCGAAAATAATTTGCTGTGAGACCGTGATTGTAGACCGTCCGATTAGATCGAGCCCTCCTCGCTCGACCGTCCAAACACCTGAAGCCAGTCAATCCAGTAGGGTTTCGTGAGAGCCACCTTCGGCCACAACACCAGCCCGCGGGCTGGATCTCTAGTAGTCTGGTACTGTACAATTTAGCAATTTAGTACCTGATCGCAGAATCTTAGTTGGCTGGATCTGTAGGGAAGCAATTTAGGATATCTGTGACTGCGAGGTAGAGCAAGGGAGGCGGTCAGATCGGGATTTTCTTCCCATTATCGGCAGCCATGTAGTGAGTGCCTACGATTTCCTTGTTTCCCTGCAGAATTTCCCGTGTTGATTTATCTTGCTTGGAATGACTGCCGCTGCCTGGGCCCTTTTGCCTTGTTTGCCTTATCTGGCACATGATCAGTCGTTCAGGTGGCTCCCGTTATGGCAGCGACTACAGGGGAGGCGGAGGCGGTGGATACCAGACTTCCTCCCGTCTGTACGTCGGTCGCCTCTCGCAGCGGACGCGCACTCGCGATCTCGAGTCCCTATTCGGCAAATACGGAAGGTGAGGTTTCTGGTTTTTGTTTTTGTTTTCTAATTGATTTGGTTTCTCGCCGTGTTGGGTTTCGACAAGTGAGAGGATCGATTAAGATGTTTCGATCTATTGAGATACGACGTGTATGTACGTACTGGAGAAGGGGTCCCTTGAGTCGTTGATTTCGTTTCTTCCCGCAATTACCAGTGACCTCCATTCTTATCATTTACCTACAACCAACCTCAACCCCTCCTACCTTCAACCTTTCTGGTTTTCAAATCGTTCGCTCGCCGGTGGGTGCGTCCTGGCGGTTGGTCCCGTAGCGTCGGGTGAGATGCGCGTGCGTCGCTTCGTGGTGCATGTCTCGCATGGTGCTCGCTAGCTTTCCCGTGCTGCTTCGCGTTGTCGGTGGTTGCGATCGATTTCCCGCTGAACGAGATGTGAAAGAGAGCTCTTGCGCTGACGTGTTCTGCCACGATTCGTCGCGGCGATCGGGGTGCATTCGCGGACAAAAATCGCAATGATGACGCTCGCGCGTGCCGCGCGGGGTGGTCGCCGTCGTATGCGCGTGGCGGTCGGTTTCGCGCGTCCCGCGGGCTTCCGCGTTCTTGCGATCTTGCTTCTTTGCGGGGATGCGTAGCGCTTATCGGGTCGATGCGTATTAACGGGGGTGTCGCGCGCGGGGTAAAGCGCGGTTTCGCGCGGTTTCGTGGTGTTCCGCCTGTGTGCGTGCTCAACGCCGTTCTGGGACTCGATGGACTCATCAAGTGCGGTATGGTGCGGTATGGTGCCTGCTTTAGTCTTTTGGTGTGGTGTGTGAGGTTCTGATAGGTTCTGATGGGTTCTGATGGTTTCGTTAGCCATGATGGTCGGCCTGCTTGCACTGTCCTGACGGGTTGGCCTCATGCGGTTTGGATCAGTGCTGCCTTTTGATTATTAATCATCTGCCCCTTCTTGCCTCTCGCTTTTCCGGCTGCGTTGTTAATCCTCTCTCCACACTCTCCCCTCTCTTGCTTTCCTCGTGTGTGCCCGCTTCCTCCTCTCTGTCTCCGTGATTCTCTCCCTCTCCCGCGTTCTCTTCCTTGCAGGATTCGTGACGTCGACATGAAGCGTGACTACGCGTTCATTGTGCGTAAACGCCGTAAATAGGAACCCTTCCATCTGCTTCTGTAGTCTCTTTCTCATTGATTTCTTGATTTCTTGATCTCTTGGGAAATGATTTTGTTAGGAATCGCTGCGGCATCCGCCTCCGCCCACCTCTACCCGCGCCTCTGCCCTCCGTTTCCGCATCCCCCTACCCTCCCCCCCCCCCCCCCCTCCCCCCACACCACCACACCCCCCCCTTCCCCCTCCCTGCCGTTATCTCCTCCTTCCTCTCTGCCCTTAAGACTGCTGCCAATCCTCTCCGTCCGCTGATTCTCCCCTTCCGCCTTTTCACCCCCTTCTGCTGATTCTCCTCCGCACAGGAGTTTAGCGACGTGAGGGACGCCGAGGACGCGGCGCACTATTTGAACGGCAAGGACGTGGACGGCAGCCACATCATCGTGGAGTTTACCCGCAGGGTACGTTCGTGCGGGTTCTTGCTGCCTGTATCCTGGGTGGCGTGGGAGAGCGTGTGAGGTGAAGATGGTCTCAGCACAACAAGGACGTGGGCTGCAACCACATCATCGGGGAGTTCACCCGCAGGGTATGCTCTCTGTTCTTGCTGGCATGCTCTCTCTGCATGTGCGCTTGGGGGGGGGGGGAAGGGGAGGGGGGGGGGGGGTTATGGGGAGGTGTCATTCCAACTCATTGGCAAGGACGTGGACGGCAGCCATATCATCGTGGAGTTCACCTGCAGGGTACGTCCTTGGGGAAGGGCGGGGGAGGGGGGCCCGGGGGGAAGGGCGGGGGGGGGATCGGCAAGGGCACTGCTGCAATTGGTAGTGTCTAACTGGATCGGGACGTGATCGGCAATGACACCTCCCCATCCCCCCCCCCCCCCCTTCCCCCGCCCCCCCCTCCTTCCCTCCCTATCCACTCAATCAGGACCCGCGGTGGCAGGGCTTCGCAGGTCCGCCTATGGGCGGCACCCAGGGGCGCTGCTATAACTGCGGCAAGGACGGGCACTGGTTGGTGTCTTGTCTAAACAGGCTCCCCCCTCCCTCACCCTCCTCTTCCACCCTCCACCCCACCCTACTCCACCAGGGCCCACGGGGACAGGGCTTCGCAGGTCCGCCTATGGGCGGCCCCCGCATGGGGGGAATCACCCAGGGGCGGTGCTACAACTGCGGCAAGGACGGGCACTGGGCGCGGGACTGCCGCAACGGCGACTGGGGCGGCAAGTGCTACCGGTGCGGGGAGCGCGGACACATCGAGAGGGACTGCAGGAACAGCCCGGCTCAGAGGTGCGATTTGCTAGCTGAATGTCCAGGTAGTAGACATAGTAGGAAGCTAGGGGGAGAGGTTGTTGTTGCAGAGAGGACTGGGGTGGCAAGTGCTACTGGTGTGGGGAGCGCGGACACATCGAGAGGGACTGCAGGAACAGCCCGGCTCAGAGGTGAGTTTGTTTGACACTGCTGCGATGGTAGCGCGGGGGGGAGAGTGTTTCTGCTGTGAGGAGCACGGATGCAGTGAGAGGGACGGGCACTGGGCGCGGTACTGTTGCAATGGCGACTGTGGTGGAAAGGGCTACCGTTGCGGGCGGGGAGTGTGGCCACATTGAGGGGGACCGCAGGAACAGCCCGGCTCAGAGGTGCGTTCTCTTCGTTTTGGGAACCTTAGCTGATGGAGTTGTTAGGGACTGCCGCAATGGCTACTGGGGGGGGGGGGGGGGGGGGGGGTTGGTGTTATCGCAGCAGGGAGCATGTGCGCATCGAGAGGGACTGCAGGAACAGCCCGGCCCAGGGGTGACATTTTCCTCCTCCTTGCCTTAGCTGGTGCCTTGGTTCCTCCTTGCCTTGACTCTTGCCGCCGCCTTCGTTTTCCCGTCATCAATCAAATGGCATCGCCGCTCTCTTTCGTGTCAACCCCACGGTGCAGGTATCGGTCTCGCAGCCGCAGCCGTTCACGCAGGTATGCTGCTTTGCTCTCTCACTCTCATTTCGCCATCACAGCTGTCCTTTTCTTCTTGTGCTGCTTGAAATGTAGCGAACCCCTCGTTTTTTTCTTCCGTCTCAGTTTGGCTGCCCTCACCCCCTGTGTTCAACCTAGCTGAACACCTCTTTCCTCTTCCCCTTGCTTTCATGCCTCTCTCCCGCTATACCCCTTTCTGCCCCTCCTCCCAGCCCTCGTCGTGGGCGTGACCGCCGCAGCCGCAGCAACAGCAAGGACAGGGAGGAGCGCAGCAAGAGCCGCAGCAGGAGCAGGAGCCGGAGCCGCAGCAGGAGCAACGACCGCGACAAGGACCGCAGCCGGAGCAGGAGCAACGAGCGTGTGAAGGACCGCAGCAGGAGCAGGAGCAGGAGCAATGATCGTGCCAAGGATCGCAGCCGGAGCAGGAGCAGGAGCAACGAGCGCGGGAAGGATGGGGAGAATGGCAAGAAGGCTGGCAGCCGCAGCCCCTCCCGCAGCAGGAGCAGGAGCAGGAGTGCGAGCAAGGAGAGGAAGAACAGTCGGAGCCCTAGTGCTGAGAAGAAGGACGAGAAGAGTCCCAGGCGCAGCAGTCGCAGTCCCAGCAAGGAAAGGAGCAAGAGCAGGAGCAAGAGTAGGAGCCCGAGGAGGAGTGCCAGCCCTAGGAATGAGGATGGCGGGTCACCCAAGAGGTCCCCGATGCAGGATGATGGGGCGAGGAGTCCAGGAAAGGGGGACGACGAGGGAAAGGATGGAGATGAGTGAAATATGTGGACTCGGGGTGTGTTGGCGAAGCGTATATGGTGTCATTGTTTGACTCTCAACGCATAACTTGATATGACATCTCGGTTATTTTGTTTGTTTTTACCTTCCGTCTCAAATTACAAGGCCTTTTTGGGAGCTGTTTGCATGCGACGCGGGGGGGGGAAATGGCCAGAGCTTGAGGTTAGGGGATTTCTGGTTCGGATTTCAGCCGTCACGCTGGTGTGGTCAAGCTCGGGGCGGCGACGCCGTAAATTCTGGTGTAAGGCGGATTTCGCATAGTCTGGTAACTCAGGGGAGCACGTGGTGCACGACACCAGGCGACCAAGTTTTGTACTGTAGTGGTGTTCGTTGTTGGAGATGTCAGTCTGCCTCTGCCACTACTTGTCAGGCGATCTCAGTCGATTTTGCCGCAAGAACCAGCTGCCGCGCGTTTCCCTTACCGAAGCCAGGCTCGGATTATTGGTTGTGCGTGCCTTGATTGGTTCTAAACCATCAGCCAGGCTCTGCAAATCCGAGCCTGGGGTTCGCAAACCAAACGCACGCCTTTCTGCCCTAGCCTCACCAAGCCCCAAGACTGAGCAGCAGCGCTGACTGCGGGCTGCCATTCTCCGTCCCAGTTGGGAACCGAACTAAAACCAAATCAAACCAATAAAGCCGAACCAAACCGAACCAAGCCTTTTTTTCTCCTCTTCTGCTCCCTCGTCCATCCGCGAACCCCGCTTTCAGGTGTGCAACTCCCCTTGGGATTTCAACAGCCAGATTCCCTCGGCCGTGTCATAAGAGTTCATACTTCCTCTCAACCCTTCTTGACCGTGACAGAAGTTTAGTGAATATATCCAAACGCTTGAAAACGCACTTAACCGTGTTAAAGTGAACTCTTATGACACTCTTGGGGGACAGCCCAAACCGAAATGCTCTGCACTTCTCAGCATCCCAGTCTCGGCTGGTTTCTTTTCCCTGACTGGCTGTATGACCACGCAAGCGACGAATCGCGCTGCTCTTCCCAGAGCTTCTGAATTGCATGGCTGTCGGGTAGCTTATGCGCCGTCGACCTCATGCTAAGGCGTAGCTGATCTGAGAGCTTAGACCGCGCATACGCTTGCTCGTTTGTCTGGCTGCCACGGATCATGCCGGCTGGATTGCGAGGTGTTCTTTCTCCATTGTGCTTCTCAGCTTTGTGTCTTGCAGCCACGTCTGCTGTTACGTCCTGTCGCCTGCTGTTACGTCCTGTCGCTTGGTCGGATAGCTGAACGCTACTTAGTCGTGGTGTATTCAAGCTTCGACGCTTAAAGACGGCTTTCAGCCTCACTCATGCACGAGCTGCATTGACAAGTGTAAATAACGCCATAGCAGCTAGCAAGGCTCCAGTCTAAACTCAGGCCGTGCACGACACGCTTCGGAACATTTGCTGTTTTCTGGGTCTTAAAAAGAAGATCAATGAAGGGTCTACTGCATAGCGGCCTCTGGAGCACCGCCTTTGTCCTCTCCTTCACCTCCATCCTCTCGCTATTATCACATTCAATTCAGAGTAGCGAGATCGGACCCGATATCCCGGATACCACGCTCGACGTCACTCCGATAGTGAGTCCCTCGTTACAGGATGTCAGGCTCCAGGTGCGACCCACGGGCTTGCAGCGAAATAGCGTCTCAGCTTCAAACGAGGACATTTTTATGAAGTCGGATACCCGTTCAGCATCCGATGTGCGGAAAGGAAGTGAGGGGTTTCCGAAGCAAAGACTGCTCCGGGGAATCGATATGGTTGAGATGGAGGCGGAGGATGAGGAGGAAATTAGGAAAGTGAAAACCATAAGAAAAGAGAGGATGAAAGAGGAGGCATCTGACCGAAGGTCTTTGTCCTTAACTTCGAATCCATCCGGGAGCGAGAAATCCGCGGCGGATTCGAATGTTCTACAATCGAAGGTTCCAACAACGGAGAATCTGGCATCTGACAGGAGAATATGCGGAGAAGGACCGCTGAAGGTGTTTGTGTACGAGCTGCACCAGAAGTTCAATTTCGGGCTGTTTCGACATAAGGAGCTGGAGAGCCTGCCTTTTAAAGCGGATGAAGCTCCCGAGCTGCGGTACCAGAGGAAGGCCGATGGAGGGGTGTCCGGACGAGGGTTCGAGCACAGCGGCGAGTTTTTCATCGTCTATAATCTCCTGGTAAGCCAAGCACTGCTCTGCATTACTTGGTAAGCTGTACTGTTTTATGGTCGGTTTGAGGGGTGCTTCTTTCGTACAGGCGAACAACCACAGCGACAGCAGCAGGAGCGACGGAGACATTGTCCGAGTGACGGATCCCGCAGCAGCGCATGTGTTCTTCGTGCCTTCCACCTGCTAACCCCACATCCGGACCCCCTATGCACTCCTGTGCCTCCTCATGTGCAGGCGAACAACCACAGCGACAGCAGCAGGAGCGGCGGCGACATTGTCCGAGTAACGGATCCCGTAGCAGCGGATGAATGCTAACCTCTCTGCTTCTATGTGCATCCTTGCTCCTCATCTCGTCTGCAGGCGAACAACCACAGCGACAGCAGCAGGAGCAACGGCGACATTGTCCGAGTGACGGATCCCGCAGCAGCGGACGTGTTCTTTGTGCCGTTCTTGGCGTCCCTCAGCTTCAACATCTTCACCACCAATGGCATGCGAGGAGCGCTCGCAGAAAAGGACAAGATTCTCCAGGTGCGTTGAGCAAGTTTGCCCCCCCGTTGCGTAGCTCCCGCATTATTCAACCCGTCTGCCGTTCCTGGCGTCCCTCAGCTTCGACATCTTCACCACCAATGGCATGCGAGGGGCTCTCGCAGAAAAAGACAAATTCTCCAGGTGGGTTTGGACAAGAGCCCCCCTGTGTAAGTAGCTCCCAAATTATTCCCCGTCTTCCGTTCCTGGCGTCCCTCAGCTTCGACGTCTTCACCACCAACGGCATGCGAGGGGCTCTTGTTTTGCAAGACAAGATTCTGCAGGTAAGTTGGGCAAGATCCGCACTGCATGCGTAGCTCCCACTGTATTCCCCGTTCCCCGTTCCCCGTTCCCCGTTCCCCGTTCCCCGTTCCCCGTTCCCCGTTCCCCGTTCCCCGTTCCCCGTTCCGCTTTTGAGTCGACTCAAAAGCATCCCCACTGCGTGCTTAGCTCCCCACGGTATTCCCCGTTTCCCGCTCCTGCCGTCGCTCAGCTTCAGGTTGCGGCGCCTCAGGACTCGGTGGCTTTTTCCCCTCACTGCAGGAGGAGCTGTGGGGCGTGCTGAAGGAGTCGTGGTGGTGGAAGCGGTCGGGCGGCAGGGACCACATCACTCCCATGCTGCAGCCCAACGCCTGTGCTTGCATTCCCCACACCTCCTTATCCCCTGCTCCTTACATTCCCCTTGTGCTTGCCTCACTGCAGGAGGAGCTGTGGGGCGTGCTGAAGGAGTCGGAGTGGTGGAAGCGGTCGGGAGGTAGGGATCACATCATCCCCATGCTGCAGCCCAACGCCCTCCGCCACATCCGCCAGCGCCTCGCCCCAGCCATGTTCCTGCTGCTCGACTTCGGCCGGTACGCTACCTTGGTGCTTGCCTGCAGTGCTGTGTTGCGGGCACTCAAGGGTTTGTAGTCAGTAATGGGGAGGCAAGGAGTGCAGAGGCAGGGGCCACATTACTCCCATGCTGCAGCCCAACGCCCTGCGCCACATCCGCCAGCGCCTCGCCCCTGCCATGTTCCTGCTGCTCGACTTCGGCCGGTACGTTGCCTCGTTGCTCTTTTAGCGGGCACTCAAGGGTCTGTCGTCAGTAGTGGGGAGGCAGGGCGCGCAGAGGCATAGCGCGCAGAGGCAGAGCGCGCAGAGGCAGGGCGCGCAGAGGCAAGGTCCACATTACTCTCATGCTGCAGCTCAAAGCCCTTCGCCACACTCGCCAGCGCCTCGCCCCAGCCATATTCCTGCTGCTCGATTTCGACCGGTGCGGTTGCTGAACTCTTCACGCTTATCATCCCCTGGGGGAGGGAGGTGAGGGTAGCCAATACCACCCCCTGGCCCCCCCTGCATTCCTCCTTCGTACTTACCACTAAACCCACCCAACGTGCTCCCCTCTCCCACGTGACATGAGACGAATTTTGAGGCGCCTAAAAAAGCTCTCTTCATTCTTATCCATAGTCAATACCACCCCCTGTTCCCCCCTGCATTCCTCCTTCATACCACTAAACCCACCCACTCTGCTCCCCTCACGGCACTGCTCGTCCCAAGGACTTAGTGGTTCCCCACAACCGCATGGTGTCATCTTACTCGGAGCCCGCATTCCCCTTGGTTCCACTGCCTGCCTTCCCACTCCTCTCTCCGCCCCCACCTTCCTCCCCTTCCCTCCCCCAGCTACGCCCAAGGCACAGCCCGTTTGAGCAAGGACTTGGTGGTTCCCTACAACCATATGGTGGCTTCTTATTTAGAGCCCGCATTCCCCCTTCCCCCTTGTTCCCTACAACCATATGGCGGCTTCTTTTTGAGAATTCTCGAAAACTCCCTACAACCATATGGTGTCGTCTTCTTTAGAGCTCGCATGCCCCCTTGTTCCCCTATTTTTTGCTCGCATCTTCCCCTCGTCTTATCCATTCGTCCAGATACGCCCAAGGGACGGCCCGTCTGAGCAAGGACATAGTCGTCCCTTACAACCACATGGTGCCATCTTACTCGGAGCCTGCGAGCTATGGGGAGGCTCAGGGGCCTTGGGAGGCGAGGCCTACTCTCTTGTTCTTCCAAGGAACGATCATGAGGAAAGATGTGAGTATGAGGGGGAGAGAGAGAAAGGATGTGAGTGTGATGGGGGACATGATGTGAGTAACAGGATTCTAGTGAAGTAACACGTTTTGTTGTCCTTGGCATCATAGGGACATGGGAAAGCTGGGTAACAATGGGTAAGAATGGGTAACATTGGATAAAAATGGGTAACATGGCGTCGTCACACATTGTACATGACATCAATATCTGCACCTTCGTCTTCCTGTGTTTGGGTATGGCATGATATATGATGATATGGCACGGTGTGGGGCATGGTGATGTGGCATTCATGGCATGGCATGGTATGCTGTGAATTGCATGGCTTGGCATCGTATGGCATGGCATGACCTGGCATGGTATGGTTTGGTATGGCATGGCTTGGCATGGCATGGTCTCCTCAGGAGGGGTACATCCGCAAGCTGATCTTTGACATGCTGCACAAGGAGCCGGATGTGAGATTTGTGGAGAGCAAGATCACCGGGCCGCAAGACATTATCTCGGTACGTGAAAGGTGTTGTGGCAGCAGCGCCGCTTATGGACTTGATGCCATACAAGTCGATCGATCTTTGACATGCTGCGCAAGGGGCCGGATGTGAGGTTCGTGGAGAGCAAGATCACCGGGCCGCAAGATATTATCTCGGTATGACAAGTGGCATGGTATGATACGCCGTGGTGCGCTGTGGTATGGTATGGCAGTCAGGGGTACCAAGGGCACATAGGCAAGCCAAACTTTGTCTTTTGAGTCGACTCTAACTTCACCTCACAGTGGTACCAAGCGGTGCATCCGCAAGCTGATCTTTGACATGCTGCACAAGAAGCCGGATGTGAGGCTCATGGAGAGCAAGATCACCGGGCCTCAGGACATCATCTCGGTATGTGAAAGGTGTTGAGTCGACTCAAGACGAAATTTCTATCACACAGATGTTGGACACCAAGGCATCGTCTCGGCTCTCGTGCTGACTCAGGGACAGGAGGGCCTCATGGAAAAGCGTAACTCCGGCTATCATTCTCCATTGCAACATGAACCCTCGTCTCCCCTCGTCTTGTCATTTGCCTCCATTCGTAGCATCATGCTCCCTCTCCTTTCCCCCCTCCACTATCCCCCCACCACCAGGCTGCATAGGTACCGAGGAAGTCGCGCTTCCGCCTGAACGCAGTGGGAGACACGGACACCCCTTCGTCTGCGTGGCTCTTACATGCCATTGCCTCATCTGCTCCCTTGGCTTTCTCCCTTCCCTGTTCCCCGCAACAGGCTGCAGAAGGTCTTAGAAAGTCGCGCTTCTGCCTGAACTCAGCAGGGGACACCCCTTCGTCTGCGTGGCTCTTACATGCCATTGCCTTATCTGCTCCCTTGGCTTTCTCCCTTCACCCTGCTCTTCACCAGGCTGCTGAGGGTCTTAGGAAGTCGCGCTTCTGCTTGAACGCAGCAGGGGACACCCCTTCGTCTGCGCGTCTGTTTGACGCCATCGTCAGCCACTGCGTGCCCGTGGTGATCAGCAACAAGATCGAGCTGCCATTTGAAACGTCGATTGACTACTCGGAGTTCACTCTGTTTGTGTCTCATGAGGTGAGAGTCGAACTCCTGTGCCTCCTGCTGTGCCTGCTGTGCCAGGGCCAGGGTCAGGGCCAGGGCCACCTCCTACGGCTGCTGTGCACAGTCCATAAGTATCTCCTTGTCGCGTGCTCCTATCACTCTTGCTTTCTCCCTCTGCTCTCATCTCCCCCAGGACGCCCTGCAATAGGGCCGCCTGCTGTGCACATTCCCAATGCCTTCAGCTTTATGTGCCTCCATCTATCTTCCCTTCCCCCTCCCATCTCCTTTTCTCCCTCAGGACGCCCTTCGCCAGGGCTACGTGCTGCGCCTGCTGCGCACATTCCATTAGTCGTTTCTCCCCTTATCTCTCTCCCCCTCCCCTTGTCTCTCCCCCCCTCCCCTTGTCTCTCTCCCCCTCACCTTGTCTCTCTCCCCCTCCCCTTGTCTCTCCCCCTCCCCTTGTCTCTCCCCCCCTCCCCTTGTCTCTCTCCCCCTCCCCTTGTCTCTCTCCCCCTGCCCTTGTCTCTCCCCCCTCCCCTTGTCTCTCTCCCCCTCCCCTTGTCTCTCTCCCCCTCCCCTTGTCTCTCTTCCCTTCCCCTTGTCTCTCTTCCCCTCCCCATGTCTCCCCCAGGACGCCTTGCGCCAGGACTACCTGCTGCGCCTGCTGCACACATTCCATTAGTAATTTCTCCCCTTATCTCTCTTCCCCTCCACCTTTCTCCCCCAGGACGCCCTGCGGCAGGGCTACCTGCTGCGCCTGCCACCCACATTCCATGAGTCATTTCTCCCCTTGTCTCTCGCCCCCTCCACCTTTCTCCCCCAGGACGCCCTGCGGCAGGGCTACCTGATGCACACATTCCATTAGTCATTTCTCACCTTATCTCTCGCCCCCTCCACCTTTCTCCCCCAGGACGCCCTGCGGCAGGGCTACCTGCTGCGCCTGCTGCGCACATTCCCCAGGGACAGGTGGTTGCGCATGTGGCAGAACCTGCAGCGCGTGAAGTACCACTTCGAGTTCCAGGTGGGTTTCGGGCTCTCCCTTTCCACTGGTTACATCATTCCCCAGTGGTACCTGGCTGCGTATGAGCGAGATTCTGACGCGCGCGCGCGCACTCACACACACTCTCTCTCTCTCTATCTATCTCTCTCTCTCTCTCTCTCTCTCTCTCTCTCTCTCTCTCTCTCTCTCTCTCTCTCTCTCTCTCTCTCTCTCTCTCTCTCTCTAATGGTCCTTCATTGCTGGGAGATCCTGGGTACAGGCGAAGCATATAAGGTGGGTACAAGCATGCGTGGTACTCCTGGTCTAGCTCCTAGTCCCCGGCTATTCCCTTGGGTGCTCTCTCTCTCTCTCTCTCTCTCTCTCTCTCTCTCTCTCTCTCTCTCTCTCTCTCTCTCTCTCTCTCTCTCTCTCTCTCTCTCTCTCTCTCTCTCTTCTCTCTCTCTCGCTCACTCCTCTGCTCCCCCCTCCCCCCTCCCCCAACCATATCATTCCACAGTACCCGTCACAGCCAGGGGACGCAGTGAGCATGGTGTGGAGGGAAATCCGCAAGAAGCTCCCTCGAGTGCGATTGGCTATCAACCGGGGAAAGCGGCTAGTGGTCCGTGATTGGACCAATGTGTAAGTTAGACATTGTAAACGTCAGGTACTTGTTTTTTATAATAAAGTTTGTAGATTGTGTAGTGTTGACAAGACATGTTTTGGAAAAGTGTGATGACAAGTTGTTTCTACCATGCCAGGCATCAAGATGGCTCGCTGTATTGGCAAGTGCATATCTAGAGACGATTCCAGTCAGATTGAACAATTAGGGGGCGTTAGGATGAAGTAGACCAGGAAGCCAAATTGCCACAAAGCCGAAGGCTTTGGAATGCGACGCACCGTACTGCACCGTAGAATGGCATCCCCCAAATATCTTGCATGTGCTACACGCCCAAGTTAGGAGCACGCCTTGCCTGCAGCTTCTGCATGCCGTGGGAAAGCTGTCATTGGTGGTCAGCTTTAGTTCAGAAACAGAAACTGCTAGATGAGCAGAGGAAAAAAGCCATCGGGACAACAAAAGAGCGCGCCAGCTAGGGGTCGAACCTAGGACTTTTCGCTTAGGAAGCGAACACTCTATCCACTGAGTTACAGGCGCTGTGTATGTAAGAAAGAATTTTAAATAAATAAATAAGTTTGGTATACAACATAGCTCCTGAACTCTAGAAACAACTGTTACTTCCTGGTCACAATTCTATCAAATGGGGACAATGATTCAAGATACTCTCCAGTGTCATAACACAATTGAGGTAAGCATTAGTCAGCAAGGTTTCCTTGTCTGTATGGAGATGCATGGCGTGACAAGCCACTACCAGCCCCCTTCTCACTGCCTTTTTCACCCCCTTTCTCCCCCCCAGTTGTTGCGGTTGCCTCACCAGGTGTCATGAGACGATTGGACAAGGAGCTTCCACGAATCAAGTCCTCTTTTTGCTTGATTGGAAATAGTGGGGGTGGTGGGGCACCGATTGTCAGATGTGAACAAGGAACAAGAGTGGAGAGACAAGGATGGCTGTGGATTTAGGGGATGGGTCTATGACATGTCCTATAGTAAGGCAAATCCACAACTGGTGTCTACGTGGAATGGTGAGCTGAAAAATTGGCCTTGTTTGAAACGACAAAGAACGGCCGGCACCTGGTCGGCAGGCTATGCGGCAACCACACTTGATTTGCAGCCCATACCAGGCCTCTAGGCATGGGAAGGCCTGGTGCACCGTACCTGGCCTCCAGGCCCGGGAAGGTCATACCTTGTCAGCAGGTGCGGCAGGTCGAGCAGGTATGGAGGCAGGCTCGGCTTTGAGTGAAGCCTCCACTTTGGCCTTTACAGGGGGGCGAGAGGCAGGGGGGCGGCTGAAGTGGAGAGGGGCGGGCATAAGGGAGATGAAGGAGGGGGGGGCGGGTGGAGAGGGGAGTAAACTTGGCACAGGGCAGGGCAATAAGGGGTCGAACCGGTATAGAGGCAGGTTCTGGTCTGAGTGACGCCACTCCCTTGGGCTCTACAGACGGGCGCGAGAAGCAGGCGAGCGACTGAAGGGGAGAGGAGAGCGCATAAGGGAGAAGTGGGAGGGGGGGGCGCATAAGGCTCTTCTTGAGTGAAGAAACACCTACGCATTTGTCACAGGCACTCACCCCAAAAGCCACTCATCCTCACAGGGGATTCACCCCAAAGGGAACTCACCCTGAAACTTCAGGTAAGGGTCGTTTCTTCCCCTCTGTTGTGGCTGTTCCGCCCCCTCCTGTCACTCCTCCTCCTCCTCCTCCTCCTCCTCCTCCTGCTGCTGCTGCTGCTGCTGCTCCTACCCCTGCTGTTCCGGCAGCTGCAGCTGCCTTGCTGCCCGTCTTCCCTTCCTCTTTCACTGCTGCTGGTCCTTCAAGCACTGCAGGCGCGTCCCCATCCGCTTCCCTGTCGTCAGGCCGGGTGTCGGCCTCCTCCTCCTCCTGTTTTAAGAGGGTTACCAGAGGGATGGCAGAAGAGAAGAGTAGGGAGATGAGAGAACGAGTCAGAAACGATAGCCCTGCCTATTTTTGAGGCGCCTCAAGAAACGATAGCCCTGCCTTCGTTTCACTGCTGCCGCTCCCTCCCTCCAGCACTGCAGGCGCGTCCCCATTCGCCTCCCTGTCCTCAGGCCGAGTATCGGGCTCCTCCTCCTGCATTGTGAAATTAAGCAAAAAGAAGGGAGAGGGGGAGGGCAGGCAGACGAGCAGGGCAGAGAGATGGGAACGCAAATGAACCCAGTAATTCCTTTCCTCTTTCACTGCTGCCGGTCCCTCCAGCACTGCAGACGAGAGATATTTGAGAATTCTAAAAAATCGAGAGGGCATGCAGACGAGAGGGGTAGAGAGATGGGAAGGCTAAGTGAACTCAGTTTTCCCCTCCTCTTTCACTGCTGCCCGTCCCTCCAGCACTGCAGACGAGAGATATTTGAGAATTCTAAAAAATATCTCGAGAGGGCATGCAGACGAGAGGGGTAGAGAGATGGGAAGGCTAAGTGAACTCAATTTTTCCCTCCCCTTTCACTGCTGCCCGTCCCTCCAGCACTGCAGACGCGTCCCCATCTGCTTCTCTGTCCTCAGGCCGAGTATCAGTCTCCTCCTCCTCCTCCTGCCAGGGACAGCAGGAGAGAGAGAAAGAGCTTGTGGGTGCATGTGAGTGTGTGCATGTGAGTGTGTGTGTGTGTGCGCGTGCGCGGTGCACTAGCTTACCACGCTTGGAGCATGCTGATGATAGGATGCATGCAGCGATGGATGCATGCAGCGACGGATGAATCAGGTTGCCTGGGCGTGAATAGCTTACCTCGTCGGGTAGTTGTGTGTCAGGAGCACGCGCGTGGAAGGGCACACTGGGAGCATGCTGAAGCTTGGATAGATTCTCCAGCAGACGAGTTCTGCGAGTAGAGGGGTGAAGGGAGTATGCAGAGAGAGGAAGGGAGAAGAGGAGGGAGGGGATGGAGAAATGACAACGCAGCTTGGATAGATTCTCCAGCAGACGAGTTCTGATGTGTTTTGTTCTTGAGAATTCTCAAAAACATTGACAAGGCATGCGTGTCTGGATAGATTCTCCAGCAGACGACTTCTGAGAGGGAAAATGGCTAAGGAAGGGCAGAGGGCGAAGGGTCGGGAAAGGGATAGAGGGAGGAATGCATCGAGTATGTTACGACTTGGACAGGATGGAGATTGGGACACTTGGAGCATCCTGCGGCTCACAGATCCTGCATGGCACATGCACAACACGCACATGCACCCAGAGATAACACTCACCGCACGGAGTCAAGGTAGGCCCTAGAGTTCTGATTCTCCATGTTGCTGGGAGTGATGTGCAGAGTATAGTCGGGGCCGAAATACTCATAATAATCGTTGAAGGGCATTCGGTCTTCCAATTCTAGTCCCACTGCCACTCCGGTCTGTTGGCAGACAAGGGGAGATTGGGGCAAAAGAGGGGGTTCCGGTTGCCATTAGATTTAGATGACGCTAAATCCTCCGGCTCCAATTCCCTACCACCCCGGTCTGCTGCTGAAAGGCACAGAAAGGGGATTGTGGAGTTTGGAGGAGGAGGGAGGGGGTGTGACCGTGTGGGTTGTTTGCGAAATACTGGCAGTGATTGTTGAGAGGGAGTCAGCTCCGCACTGCAGCACGGGAGTAGCCCACCCCTTACTCTCAGAGGAAGTGCCCTGTGACATTGTGACGAGGTGACTTTCGAGTCGAGTCAAAAGTCGCCTGTGCTGCAGCATGAGAGAAGCCCATGGCTTACCCTCGGAGAAAGAGACACATGTGCGTGTGTGTGTGTAACAGAAAAGCCCTCTCCTTACCTCGTAGCACCAGGATCGGGTGACGTTTCGAATGATGTACCCCCCTCCTCCCAGCAGCAGCAACGGCACATAGAAGGACCGCAAGAAGCACACAAGTGGCCCTTAGCACAGACAGATTGAAACACCCCAGGCGATTACCAGAGAGGAAAAACACTCCCTTCACCTCAATTTCCCAAGAAAATGGATTATCTCACTTCATAGCACCAGCATCGAGCCACGTTGCGGACGGTGTGTCCCCCTCCGCCCAGCAGCAGCAGTGGGACGTTAAACGACCGCAGAAACCGCACACACTCCGAGTGGCCCCTCACAGACAGATTGAAGCACCCCAGGCAGTTCCTTGGTGGGTGAGCCTCCCCTTTACTCACCTCGTAGCATCAGCAGCGAGCCACATTGCGGATGGTGTACCCCCCTCCGCCCAGCAGCAGCAGCGGCACGTTAAACGACCACAGAAACCGCACACACTCCGAGTGACCTCTCACAGACAGATTGAAGCACCCCAGGCAGTTCCTTGGCGAGTGAGCCTCCCCTTTACTCACCTCATAGCACCAGCAGCGAGCCACATTGCGGATGGTGTACCCCCCTCCGCCCAGCAGCAGCAGCGGCACGTTGAACGACCGCAGAAACCGCACACACTCCGAGTGGCCCCGCACAGACAGATTGAAGCACCCCAGGCGGTCCCCTGAGAGCGAATCCGCCCCACACTGCAGCACGACTGCGCCTGGCTGGAAGACGTCCATGACTTTGGAGATGAGGGGCTTGAAGAGCGAGAGGTAGCTGTCGTCGTCAATGCCGTCGTGCAGCGGCACGTTCAGCGAATAGTGCTTGCCCTTGCCGTACCCCGTGTCCCTCAGATCGCCTAAGGCAACAGCGGAGGAGGGTGGGAGAAAGAGAGGCGGAAAAAAGGCATTGGAGGGTACTCAGCACCACACTCCACGCTGCAGCACCACACTGCACCCCCCGCACTGCCGCACAACTGCGCCTGGCTGGAAGACGTCCATGACTTTGGAGATGAGGGGCTTGAAGAGCGAGAGGTAGCTGTCGTCGTCAATGCCGTCGTGCAAAGGGACCTTCAGGAAACAGTGCTTGCCCTTGCCGTACCCCGTGCCTCGCAGGTCGCCTGGATTGCAGGGAAGGGTGAGGAGAAGGCAAGGGAAGTGGGCTATAAGGCAGCGAGGGAGGCACATTCAGCGAGAGAGTAGTGCTTGCCCTTGTCATACCCCTGTGTCCGCTAGGTTGCCTATTTTTGAGGCGCCTCAAAAATAGACTCCTGTCCGCTAGGTTGCATGGATTGCAAGGAAGGAGCAACGCAGAAAGAAGAGCTTGACAGAGGCACGTTCAGCGAGTAGTGCCTGCCCTTGCCATACCCCATGTCCTGTGAGTCACCCGGGGAGGCAGAGGTGGAGGGCAATGAACACCGTTGTGCACAAAACAAGACCGGCAGGCAGAGGCACGTTCAGCCAGTAGTGCCTGCCCTTGCCGTAAGGGAGGAGGAGTGATCGCAAATCGCGATAACTGTGGGTTGGGTCCCTCACCTGTGCCTGGGAAGTAGTCCCCAAACTTGTGGAACGAGACCGTCATGACTCGGTCTGTCGTGTAGAAGGCCTCCTCCACCCCGTCCCCGTGGTGGATGTCGATGTCGATGTACAGCACACGCTGAGAGAGGGAGAGAGGGGAGAGGGGGGGAAGAGGGGGAAGGGGGAAAAGAAGGGGAAAGGGGGAAGAGGGGGAAGGGGGAAAAGAGGGGGAAAGGGGGAAGAGGGGGAAGGGGGAAAAGAGGGGGAAAGGGGGAAGGAGAGGGAACCATATAGCCAGGACTGTCATGTGAAGCATGGTCGCATGGTAGCAAGCACAGCTGCACAGGCAAGCAAGAAAACTCACAGACAGTGTGGTACAGTAAGAGCTGATTTTTTAGAATTCTAAAAAAACACCTACAGCGTGGTACAGCAAGTGCTCTAGGATCGCGAGCACGATGTCAGTCACTGACTTAGCAGAACCCTTCTTGGCGTTGGCTTTGGAGTCACCCTTCTTATGAGTCGACTCCAAAGCCAGCCAGCCATCAAGCCGAGACTCACAGCGTGGTATATCAGCAGCTCCAGAATCGCGAGCACGATGTCGTTCACGTAGCAGAACCCCGACGCCTCGCACTTCTTGGCGTGGTGCAGCCCGCCCGCCCAGTTGATGGCGATGTCAACCCTACCGCACCGCACGGTACCTTGAGTGTAGAAAGCGGGGACTCACTGCATGGTACTTGAGCAGCTCCAGGATCGCGAGCACGATGTCATTGACGTAGCAGAACCCCGACGCCTCGCACTTCTTGGCGTGGTGCAGCCCGCCCGCCCAGTTGATGGCGATGTCCGAGTGCCCGTGGTTCAGCTTCACTGCACCTCCCACCGAGCCTCCAGTGTAGGTTTGGCAGAACTGGTAGAGCCCGTCGAAGACCGGGCAGTCCTCGCCCACGTTGAAGCGCTTCAGCATGCGCAGCTGCTCGTGCTGGTTCTCAGGGGTCACTGTGCGGAGGAACTCCACATAGTCGTCCGAGTGAAACCTGTGTTGGGGGCAAGGGAGAGGGGGAGAAGAGGGAGAGAGGTGAAGGCAGGTAGGAGCGTTTAAGACGGGGCAGTCAGTCCTCGCTCACGTTGAAGCGCTTCAGCATGCGCAGCTGCTCGTGCTGGTTCTCACGGGTTACTGTGCGCAGGAACTCCACATAGTCGTCCGAGTGAAACCTGGTAGTGGAAGGGTGGGGATAGGGGAGGGGGATAGGCAAGGGGGGGTTCGCTTCAGCATGCGCAGCTGCTCGTGCTGGTTCTCAGGGGTCACTGTGTGGAGAAACCCCACACAGTCATGTGGAGGTGAGTCATCCGGATTCCGGATCCAGAAATAACCCCGTTATAAACACAATCTGCCTCACTTGCACATGTCGTTATCGCGAGCGGGAAACGGTTTGAAAGAAATTCAGCTTGGTATGCAGGCCGTAGTGCATGAGCAGGCTGTGAGTCATCCGGATCCGATGACGATCCCCGTTACAAGCGCAATTGATACTCACCTGTACATGTCCTTATCGCGAGCAGGGAACGGCTTGAAAATCTCGAGTTTGGTGTGCAGGCCGTAGTGCATGAGCAGGCTGTGGGTCATCCAAATATAAAAACAATTCCCCCTAGAAGCACAATCGGTCACACTCACCTGCACATGTCCTTATCGCGAGCGGGGAACGGCTTGAAAATCTCGAGTTCGGTGTGCAGGCCGTAGTGCATGAGCAGGCTGTGAGTCATCCGGATCCGGTGCGGCTTCATGGGGTAGCCCTGGCCGTAGTAGTAGTTCCCCACATCGGGATTGTAACAAACATATCTTAAACATCACGGTCGGAGACATCAACGACCAGGTCCTTTCGACTGTGGGTCACCCGGATAGGCGAGACCCCGTTACAAGCACAATCTGCCGTTCTCACCTGCACATGTCCTTATCGCGAGCGGGGAACGGCTTGAAAATCTCGAGTTTGGTGTGCAGGCCGTAGTGCATGAGCAGGCTGTGCGTCATCCGGATCCGGTGCGGCTTCATGGGGTGGCCCTGGCCGTAGTAGTAGTTCCCCACGTCCGGATCGTAGAAATACGCGACGCGCTTCTTACGCCCTTCCGGTCCCGCGAGATTACACAGAGTACCCGTCGACGTCATAATGGGAGATCGCTACCAGCTAGGTTAAGAACCTACGTTCACCGCACTTCTAATTTACACTGCGACTCCTTCAGTTGAACAGCTCGCGACAACAAGCCATAGCCCTGAAAGACACTCCAGGCCTCGAAAACGGAATGAAGGCTCCGCACTGAACAGCACGGACAATGAAGGCTTGGAGGAGGCAAGTGACCTGCTTATACTCGGTTGTGCTTGGGTTGCCTGGAGTCGAGACTTGAGAGCTCCCTTCAAGGCAATCCCAAGGGAAGCCGACTGCGTGTGCAGTAGTCCTGGGAGTTTCGGCTTCTGACTTCCAACCATCAAGCCCTTTTCGGCGAGGAAAGCGAAAACATCACGGCGAAATCGAAAGGAAGCAGCGAAGAAGTGAAATCTGGACTGACGTGGCGGCGAGACGTAGCGAAACCGAAAACACCACAGCTTGAGTGTTACACTTTGTTCCTCATCAAACTGCAGTACAGTCCGACTGAAATGGTATTGGTTTACAAATTCCAACCATAACATACGTAAGGACCAAGGGGTGTTCAAAGTCGTAGTAATGACGAATTAGATGCTGAAAACACTACATACAAATCCCCTAATGAATTGTGCAAGTTAGATTATACAGCATCCGCAAGGATGCACTATTGTTGTGCATCTGCCCACCACTTGCGGGAGGTTTGTATAATAATAAAGTCCATACTCGTCATTACAATACAAGGGAGCAAGAATATTGCTTGTGAATGTAGCGGGTCAGCGTTGTCCGATGCCACATCATATCACACCATGCTCGCTCCTGTACCAACTATCGAAGTTTGACAAGCAAACTCCCGTTCTAAAGAGGCCGGAACGGACACGCAATATAAAATAAAGGCTGCAGCTAGAATGGTTGCATGCACGCATGAGATAGGTGTCAAACATGTGTATTTGTCATGTTTGTATAGACTGTATAGAGTCACCTCTTAGAGGATACAAAACTTAGATATATTTGTGTGTACTCTCGCGCCCCTCCCAGGCCCCGTCGCGCTCCTCCCAGGCCCACTAGCGCCCCTCCTGGGCCCCGTCGCGCTCCTCCCAGGTCCCGTAGCGCCCCGTCGCGCCCCTCCTGGGCCCCGTAGCGCCCCTCCTGGGCCTCGTCGCGCCCCTCCTGGGCTTCGTAGCGCCCCTCCTGGGCCCTGTACCGCCCTCCCAGGCCCCGTCGCGCCCCTCCCAGGCCCCGTCGCGCCCCTCCCAGTCCCTCTAGCGCCCCTCCTGGGCCCCGTCGCGCTCCTCCCAGGCCCCGTAGCGCCCCGTCGCGCCCCTCCTGGGCCCCGTAGCGCCCCTCCCAGGCCCCGTCGCGCTCCTCTCAGGCCCCCTAGCGCCCCTCCTGGGCCCCGTCGCGCTCCTCCCAGGCCTCGTAGCGCCCCTCCTGGGCTCTTTCGCGCCCCTCCTGGGCTCCGTAGCGCCCCTCCTGGGCCCCGTCGCGCCCCTCCTGGGCCCCGTAGCGCCCCTCCTGGGCCCCGTCGCGCCCTCCTTGGGCCCTGTAGCGCCCCTCCTGGGCCCCGTCGCGCCCCTCCCAGGCCCCGTCGCGCCCCTCCCAGGCCCCGTAGCGCCCCTCCTGGGCCTCGTCGCGCCCCTCCTGGGCTTCGTAGCGCCTCTCCTGGGCCCCCCGTCGTGCCCCTCCTGGGCTCCGTAGCGACCCTCCTCGGCCGCGTCGTACCCGTCGCCGCCGCCCGGCCCCGTCGTGCCCGCCCGGCGCCGTCGCGCCCGCCCGACCCCGTCGCCGCCGCCCGGCCCCGTCGCGCCCGCCCGCCGCCGTCGCCGCCGCCCGGCCCCGTCGCCGCCGCCCGGCCCCGTCGCGCCCGCCCGGCGCCGTCGCACCCTGCCTGGCCCGTCGCGCTCGCCCGGCCCCGTCGCAGCCGCCCGGCCCCGTCGCACCCGCCCGGCCCCGTCGCACCCTGCCCGGCCCCGTCACAGCCGCCCGGCCCCGTCGCACCAGCCCGGCCGCCGTCCCGCTCGCCCGGCCCCGTCGCACCGGCCCGGCCCTGCCGCACTCGCCCGGCCCCGTCGCCCCAGCCCGGCCCCGTCGCGCCCGCTCGGCCCCGTCGCCCCGTCCCGGCCCTGTCGCATCAGCCCGGCCCCGTCGCGCCCGCCCGGCCCCGTCGGGCCAGCCCCGGCCCCGTCCTCCTCACTGGTACGGTCCCCCCCCCCCCCCCCCCCCCCCCCACCCCGCCCTGCTCCGTGCCGCCCTGCACCGCACTGTACCGCACTGCACCGCACTGCACCGCACTGTACCGCACAGTACCGCACTGCACCGCACTGCACCGCACTGTATCGCACTGCACCGCACCCCACCTAGCTGCACCGCCCTGCACAGCACTGGACTGTTCCTGATGGCGGCGGAGCTTCGCTTCGACGCTGAAGGTCAGCCCCTAGAGTTCGAGGCGTGGCTTGCCGACCTCCGCCGCCAACTCACTAGCCAGCGGCAGGATGGTGAACCGCTTTCCGCACACCTTGACGGTACGCTCCCCTGCCCAGACCCTCCTGCTATTCTGCCCGCTGACCCCACACCCACTGAGCGTGAGTCTACTGCTGCCACTGCCCGTGCGCGCTCTGTCTGGCTTTCTCGCGATGCAGTCGCCCAGCTTGCCATTAGCAACGCCCTCCCCCCGTCCGAGCGTCCTCGCTTTAGGTCCCTCACTACTGCTCAGGCATACTTAGATGCTGTCATCAAGCGCTATTCCACCCCTCCGGCTGCCTCGGTGGGTCGCCTGATCCTCCCGCTGCTCTTTCCTGACCTTGCTTCGTTCCCCACTGTCTCTGACCTCGCTGCCCACCTGCGCTCGATAGAGGAGACCTGGCGCGCCGCATGCACTGACGCACAGCTTAGAGCCCACCAGCCGCCCATTACCTCTACCCTCTACCTGCTTGCCACCCGCCTCCCTGACCGCCTTGCTGTCGCCCGCGACCGCTTCCTTAGTGTTCACCCCGCAGACCTCACCCTCACTGACTTTGTCGACACCCTGACTGTGATAGAGACCCGTCACCGCTCCATCGCCCAGGCGAGCGGTGTCGTGCCGGTCCCTATCTTTCAGGGTTGTGCCCCCGCTCAGTGTACCTTCTCCGACGGCTCTGCCGCAGTGGCTGAGACTGCTGCTGCAGCGCAGGCCCGTTCTGGGAAGGGCCGCCGCCCCAAGGCTGGGCGCGGCGGAGGGGGCGGCGGGGGTGCGGGCGGGGGTAGTGGTGGGGTCGGGTCGCCTGGTGCTGGAGCGGACGAGGGGACCCTGCCCAGTCCAGCTGAGCCGCCGCCCCTGCAGTTGCAGCAGCCGCAGCAGCCGCCGCAGTCGCAGCCTTCGCAGCAGCCGCAGCAGCCGTCGCAGACGCGGCAGACGAGTGTTCTCCCGCCAGGGTGGCCCGGCGCTGGCGGTGGACGGGCGCGTGGTGGTGTGCCGCGTGGTGGCTCTGCCGGCGGGCGTTGTCAGTACCAGATCCAGACCGGTCCTCGCCGCGGTTTCGTTTGCGGTAAGATCGGTCACTCCACTCCCCGCTGCTTTCGTCGCCTGGACGACCTCTTTCGTCAGCGTTTCGGCCCGTCGCCAGACCTCCCGGACTGGCACAGTTTGCTTAGCCGTCAGATTCAGATCTTTGATATGGACATGGATGCCATTGTTTCTGCTCTGCATGTGATGTATGCTGATGACTCTAGTGTGCTTCCGACTTATTACTCACTGTTGCCTAGTGTAGGTGTGCCTAGCTTAGCCTCCCCTGCTGCGTCAGGCGTAGGATCCCCTGCTTTGTGTAGTCTTGGTGCTTCTGCCGTCGTTCCGTCGCCAGACCCCTCGGCTTCGCTTTCCTTCACCTTGGACTCTAGCGCCTCTCGGTGTTTCTTCCGCGACTCCACCACCCTGACGCCGCTTCCTGTTCCAGCTGCCGTTTCTCTTGCTGACCCCTCCGGCGGCCCGGTAGTCGCCCGCAGTTCCACCACCCTTCCCTGTCCGGCGGTTCCTTCGGGCTCTCTTACAGGTCTGCATATCCCCTCGTTCTCCAGGAACCTAGTTGGTGTCGGCTGCCTCCAGGACCTTGGCGTCACCACTACGTTCCCTGGTCACGAGCGGTATGCTGTCTGTACCGAGGCCGCCACTGGTGCCCCCCTGTCCACGTTCCCCCGGGACCCGGTGTCCGGTCTGTTCACTCTGGACACCGTGCCCCCCCTGGCTGGAGCGCCCCCTCAGGTGGCTGTGTCTACCCAGGTTGCTGCTGCCTGCTCCTGTCGCTCCCTCACTCACCCGACCCTCCTGTGGCACCACCGCCTAGGTCACCCTGCGCTCCCGCGTCTGCGTCACATGTCCCAGCACGGTCTTGTCCTTGGTCTCCCAGGTTCACTCCCCGCGTTTCCCTCCTCCCCAGCTCCACCTTGCACGCCTTGTGTCGAGGGTCGGCTTCGCCGTGCCCCTCACTCCTCCTCGTTCCCCCCTACCGCCGCGCCGCTGCAGACCCTGCACCTGGACGTCTGGGGCCCCGCCCCCGTCCCTGGGCCGCGTCGCGAGCGCTACTTCCTTGTGCTTGTCGACGACTTCACTCGTTACACCACAGTCTTTCCCCTGGAGCGCAAGGCCGACGTGCCTGGCGCCCTCATCCCCTGGCTTGTCTCTGCGCGTGTCCACCGCGGTCTCCCTGTCTTGCGTCTTCACTCAGACCGTGGTGGCGAGTTTGCCTCAGGTGTCCTTGGTCGCTTTTGTCGTGCGGAGGGCATCACCCAGACGTTCACCCTACCGGACTCCCCACAGCAGAATGGGGTCGCTGAGCGACGCATCGGCTTGGTCATGGAGGTCGCTCGCACCTCCATGGTCCATGCCGGTGCACCCCATTTCCTGTGGCCGTTCGCTGTGCGCTACGCTTCTCACCAGCTTAACCTGTGGCCGCACCCTCAGCAGCCGCAGGTTTCGCCGACCCGTCTGTGGACTGGGTCTCCTGGTGACGCGTCTGCGTTCCACGTCTGGGGCTGCCTTGCTCACGTCCGTGCCTCCGGCACGGACAAGCTCACTGCCCGCACCCTTCCCTGCGTCTTCCTCGGTTTTCCCCTTGACGCGTCCGACTGGCACATTTACCACCCGCCGTCTCACCGCTTCTTTCACTCTCGTGACGTCACCTTTGACGAGTCCGTCTCCTACTACCGCCGCTTCCCCCACCGTGGTCCCCCGGTTACCCCCCCCCTGTTCCTGGTCACCCCTTCCCCGGTAGTCCCT